TTGAGTCAGAAATTTGATTACAGTATTTTTCAGATCAGACTGATGTCCGAAGACGGAAATTCTGTTTACGGGACTTTTTGCATGTGCTGTTGTAATGTGATAATGCTTTAAAAACAAGGCAGATATTTGCTTAAAAATGTCTGCACTGGATGGATGGTTGTTAGATTTGACTCCTGTTTCAAACTGATATTTGATGTATCTGATGTACTCTGGAAGAAAGGAAGGTTTAGGTGCTGCTGGGCTGCTTTGGTTAAATATCTTCTTTTTATTTACTGTGTTTGTAACCCTGTTCTGTCTGTAATGAATGTTCTGTTTGTCCTCAGTGCTAATTCAGGTGGATCCTGTCCCATTTTCTGCATTTCATAAATGTGTAGGCATCAGCTTCGGATAAATGCCGTGCATCGGCCCACAGTTCCCATATCGGCGCATCCCTGCTCCAGTAAACTTGGAATAAGGAATGAAAGACCATAATACAAAATTGTTATTACTGCAGTCGTTTATTTTGAGCTGTTTGCTCACTGTTGTGGTACACTGCCGCGAATGTTAATCTCTGTTATTTCGATTTTGTTGGTGCTGTTAAAGACTGGCGTTCCGTAAGTTTAGTGTGCTGTTTAGTTTGCATTGTTATTCATTAACAATGCATGTTATTCATTGAAGCCCTGTCTGAGCTGCATACCTATGTGTAGGACTAAAATCTGCAGATTCAGCAAAATGTGCTCATAATTTCATTGTTTAGATGCAAAAGTCTTTCAGAGGGATTTTACATGAACTGCTTTCTTGAAGAGAAACTTACAGACTTTTACGAATTTTCTGTACAATAGTGTTCAAGTTAGGTAGGGGTTGCGATGTGAGTACAGCCGTTTTATTTCCTCTCCAAAACCCCCAGTGAACCCACACGTTACTGCTGAGTAATAATATGTAATTTTGATAATAATAAAATAATAATAAATCTGAAAAAAATAGTTTTTCCCATACATTCTGCATGTACCTCTCCGCCCTGCATGTATTTCCCTCGGCTCAAAGGGTGGAGTGTCAGTTCTCACCCGCAAGTTGAGGCTGCTAGTATTCATCGGAGGCCCTCTGGGAAGTCATTATGTTAGCTTGCTGGTTAATAGGTTTAAAAAAAACATGGTGGTGAATGCGAAAGTGTTTCATATTGTTTCACCCCGGTGCTGCCAGTCATCTCCGTTACATAGCACAACCTAAACTAACATAAAGCATCGGATATTCCAGTTAGTTCATGAGCTTTGGTTGCATGTTAGTTCTGTTTAGTTGCTGTGTTTCGTCTTACGTTGCATCCGTTAGAAATATTTGAACTCAAAGCCTCTGTCTGATATGTTTGTAAAGGCTGTAAGAGTGTTTTCTCCTGTATGATCCTCCGAACACTTTGTCTGAGAGGGATGTGCATCCATGCATTTGTTAGGATTGTGTATTTTACATCAGTTTGCTTACTTAGTCTACAAAAATGGAGATATGGGTAAAAAGACTTATCGTGTCTGTTAATAATAAGCGACCATCTGACAATTTAGCCATAAAAAATAATGACAGGCAGAAAACATTATACTCATGGACAACTTTGTGGAAAATTAATCAATAATCCGATCATAATCAGATTTCTGCAGTCATCCGATTGTTCAAATGGTCGTGTAAACACCATACTCCGATCTAGAAATCCGATAAAGAGAGCGGGATTTTAGCTCAGTAGTTAGATTTTTCAGTGCATGTGAACTCTTACTCAGATTTCTTTCGGATTTCTCAGTCTGTGCATGCGCGAGAACAGACGGTGGATGTTGCGAGATGCAGCAAAACACTGTTGGAGCGGCGCTGAAACCAAACAGGAAATAAAGGATTTAAATATTCATCTTCTAGATGATGTTTGTTCATATTTTCAGGTAAAGTGACTCGATGTTTTAAAAAAAGCTGCGTCATGAAGTTTACATTACGTTTACATCACGTCTTCTGTGAGTTTATTGGCTGGTTGTAAAGCAGAAATCTGATTACTGTCTGACTCATGTAGACCCGGTGTTTCCCATTATTATTACCCAAGTGCATGTAAACTTGTTGATCGGATTGCTGACAAAATCCGATTTTTTGCAGTTATTGGATTATTAGTTATTATGAAGTGCATGTAAACGCACTCACTGTTAAGTCTTACTTGTATTGATAGTGTGACGTGCTACAGACCTTGGATGGTTGTAGCAAAATGAAGAGTTAAGGTTGGCTGATAAAGTGAAATTTGCTAAGTCACACAGGACGTGATCAGATTCTGTTGTGCCTTACTAATTACTGATGTACTGCAGATGGCGTCTTATCACATTTCAGATATTACCTATCGTATCCCGTCTGTGATGGAGTGTTTTTGGAATTGGTCAGCCAGACTCCACTAAGAGGGTGCCTAGTGTTGGTCTGTCACTGCTTTATATTTAAGCCTAACTTGTTAAAGAGATTTGTTTACATTTTTTCTGTTGAATCCTTTTCTCCGATAGACTGTTTGGCTTTTCTCTCATAAAGAGCACCTGTAAAGCTCAGATAACAGATAAAGTACATTTATGAGGCCTCATATCAGTTCATGATGTGCTTTTGTGCTTCCAAGACAGATAAGGCAGTAAATGAGAGGGGCGGTTAAAAATTCGTTGTGATCTTCTTCTGCTTGCTGACAAGGAGATTTTCAGACTGGTTCTGTGTTTTAAATGACATATTTTATGCATGGACTCTGCTTGGACGAAGCTTTCGCTGATTATATTAATGCACTGACGCACTCAGTTAGAGGTCAGTAGGTTTAAGCCTGCTTTTACTGTGCTTGATCAACAGCTGAGAGCAGAGAGGATCCTGAAGTGCAAGCACATGATTGTGGCGACGTACGAACACTACGTACTACTAATTATTACTGAAAAATCAGAGGGAGTTAAACAATAATGGAACATGTGGGTTCCAAGTGAGTCAGTGGGTAGTACAGATCTCGTGTAAGTGTGATGGATCTTTTATTGATTTATTTTTATTGTTTGGTTTGCTTCCATGTGGCACTTGAGATGTGTTTGTGTGTGAAATGGAGCGATTTAGCATGCAAAACAAATTTCCACCAGAACAGATTACTGTAATTAAGGCTGGGCGATAAAACGATAATGATAATTATTGCGATACAACTTTTCTTGATAGAAATATAAGAAATGTTTGATATAATAGAGCATTCTCACGCTTGCACATTCTAGCGACAGCCCTGGTGGCATTTTCTACTGCAAGGAAAGCGAGTGATGATGAGAAAAGCGGTGTAACTGTACTGGCTTAGAGTGAACTCACTTCTTTCCGTACATCCTAACAAGCTTTAGCAGCGATAAATCAGGTCCGCTCCACTGATACAGCGCCAAACAGTCATATTTTAGTGTTCGTGCATAGCCAAGCAACAAAAGTGCAAGAAAGAGTGATTTAAATGAAAGTAAACTGAGGACGCTGTGTGGCACTGGAGAGTGGAGAATGCTATCTTCCCAGGCTGGCTGTTTTTAGCAGCTGGCTAACTTGAAGCAGCGCTCCGTCACTCGCACAACACGGCGAATTGATGTCACTGTAGATCAGACAACAAAAAAGCACCAATTTCAGTTTGTCTAGTGTTAGAGATTCACACTGCAGTTCGTGCTTTTACACAGTGAGCATCCGATATATTGTGGTTCTTCCATCCCTCAAACTACTGTAGAGAAATCCAGACGTCGCTAGCTGGTGTTTGAATACTGTGATACGCTCTGACATGGATGTGGTGGGAGTGATGGCAGTAAGGCGGTGTGATCCATCACTGACGTACCGAGCCAGCTAATGTTTGCTGTTCGTATGAAGCTGACGTTGTTCAGAAACGAAACAGTTTAGCTCTCGTCACCAGACGCTAAAAATAATGTTTTCTTTCTTAAATTATAAATATTACCAAAACTGCAGCCGTGCTTTTCCAGCTGGTAAAAGCAGCTAACCAGACACTTTCTCCCACTCTCCCATGACAGATTTGTGAAATGTTCCACTGTTTGGTGAGTGTTTGTCATGTTCTGGCCATAAAGGGTAGTTTAAAACAGCAGTTAACCCCCCAGGAGCAAAAATCAGACTTCAAACTTGAAAGAAATAATGATTTGACATTTATTGCGATGTGTCTCGATGTCTATATGAAATTTTTTATAGTGATAACATTTTTGGCCATATCGCCCAGCTCTGTGTGTTCAGTCACAATGTGTGTAAAATCTCTCATAAAATTTTGTGACTTTTTGATTTGTATGTTTGCTGTTCAAAGGCAAGATATCCTTAAACTGCTTTGCAATATGCTTCTTAAATAATAGCTGATGTTTAGTCTGATTTTACCGTCAGTTGAAAATAAATGTAACTCTTAGTAATTGCTGGTCGAAATCAGCCTGAATGTGTTATTCTACACGTTTTGAAGTTTTCGTAGCATGTTAAGTGTCGTGTTATGTATGGTGGGAACTGAAAGATTAAAGAAAATGCCAATTCTGATAGTGATTTTCAGAGCTGGAGCCATTACAGAGCAGTAAAAGGGGGATATTTGTTGGCTTCAGTTGAGGCTTAGAAGTTATGGATCATTGGGTCGGAATATTACACTGTGTTGCTTCAGTTGTTAATGTATTGTCTGCATTAATGCAGTGACCTGCCTTTAATTCTTCTTTATGACTGTGTGGCAAGTGCAGATGTGTGATGACTCAGTGCTTGCATGAGCAAATTGCTATGACATAAAAACAGTTGTTCTTTGGATGCAATTAATTACATCAGCCAGAACATCGTAGAAGATCATAGAAATAACAGCCTGTGATTTTTAGCCCGTCTCTTTAAAGTCTCTGGGTTTTATCTCTTGCAGTGAGGAGTTCACTGGCAGTAGCTCATCATCTTGACATTGGCCAAGTTGTCTCTTTCGTTGACGGCTGCTATCAATAACCAGTGTCATCATATACTGAGCCCTGTCCTCTCTCTCTCTCTTTTGCTCTCTCTCTCTTTTTCTCCCTCCCTCCCTCTCCCAGGTGCCCACATTCTGCTGCAGAGGAGAGCACCACGATGAGGAGGAATCAGTAGGCACCCTCCATAGTATGGCCGCGTCCCGTTCTTCGCGCGTCACGAGATCATCAGTGGGGTTAAATGGATTGGACGAGAACTTTTGTGGCCGAACCCTCAGGAACCGCAGCATCGCCCAGCCGGAGGAGACCTCGCCGCCTCCCAGAGCTCGATCGCCCAAGAAGAAGCAGGACTGCCAGCAACACCAGCAGGCCGGGGCTAACTCGGGGAAGGTAGCCGACGGAAAGCCGGAGGGTGAACCCTCGACCGGCCACAGGAAACGGGGCCTGTCCGTCTCGGAGAAAGACGAGCCGGAGAGGTCGGACGTCTCGGAGCGAGTCCGGGCCGGAGGAGGCCAGGAAACCTCCCCTGCCCTGAAGAGGGCTAAGCGCTGCTCTCGCTCAGGGGAATCCCAGGGAACCGAGGAGGAACCTTCTCTTAAATCAGAAATCCCTGAACCTGCTGCAGCCAAGGAGAACGATGAGGACTCCAGATTGGACACATCTTCAGCTTCTCCTTCTCACGGCCTTGAAAAAGACCCAGAGGAGAAAAAGGACAAGTCAGAGCCTGCGGAGGAGAGTGTCCCTCCCTCGCAGACCGACGAGTCCCACAAGGCGACCAATGGCCTGGCGGAGCTCCATAAGGAGGACTTAGAACCTGCGGCCTTGCCCGCAGATCCTTGTGCCTCCCCTACTACACAAACACTCACAAACAGTCCCTCGCTGCCCAACGGCAGCCAGGCGGCCCCCTCGACCCCTGACCCCATTGTGCCTTGTAAATCCCCGCTTCTTGAGCAGGTTGACGAGTCTAATGGCCCTCAGCTTGATGGGGAAACAAACTTCTCAGCTGAGGAAGCGGCTGATGCCGTATTGTCTCTGGAGCCGGAGGTTGAGGTTGAGGTGGATGTGGATGTGGTGGGGGATTCCAGTCAGGCCCAGGACGAGCGCATGGTCGAGGAAAACACAAATGGCGGCCAATCGGTGGAACTGCAAGACCCTTCAGATGATTGCTCAAATATCTCAGGAGAAACGGCAGGCTTGGCCTCCTCCAGGCTACCGCCAGAACCCCCCTCCTTCACGGAGCCTCAAGAACACAGATACACCTTGAGGACTTCACCTCGTGTTGGAGGGACCAGATCCAGTTCCCCAAAGCCCACCTCCCCACACACAGACAATGGCTTACTCAAGGAGGAGGAGGAGGAGGAGGAGGCCACAACGGTTCCTCAGGACTCGGATGAGGCCTGCCACATAGACCCTTCAGCCGATGAGCCAAGTCTCGCAACTGAGGCCGAAGAGGAAATCTCTGAGCAGGTAGAGGCCAAGGCCAGCGGAGATGGTGCTGTGTTGGATAGTAGTGTGTCCAGATCCACCAAAGAACCGTCAGTCGGTCCGGCTGAAGAGGAGGAGGAGGATCCTGACGTCTACTATTTCGAGTCCGATCACTTGGCGCTCAAACACAACAAAGAGTATGTGGAGTCTCCTGTTGTCTAGTCCAACTTTTTCCTGCTTTATACCCCGTACTGCAGTTTGTCCTGAGTGTATGTTAATAATGTTACTCTCTTTATTTGTTTTTTTATTTGTATTAATTTATTTATTCTTTCATTTTTTTTTGACATAATATTCTTGCAGGGGCAGACATGATCTCAAACTTGTAACAATGCTTTCTGCAGACATGCCACACATTTATATGCTTAATTGAAGTTTTAGGAGGATTTTTCAGCCATGCTAACTTGGGTCACATCCATGGGCTAGCGACATGCTTGTTGTTCATCGGAAAGTGTTGTCGAGCGCACCGTTGTTCCCCTGATTTGAGTTCTGTCTTCACAAGGCCCTGGAATGGTTTAGAAATTTCACACTAAGTTTTTTACTATCCTATGTCTACATTCCCACCTGCATTTAGTCGAAAATTTCTCCTGGTTGTCCTCAGATGTTCTCGTTACGAGATTATGGCTGGCCCTGCGAGACTGATAACCTGTCAACACCACCTTTTACACATTCTTGTAAGACTTTTAATTATATTTTGCTAAGATGCAGGATTTTTTTTTGTCACTGATATTTGATGATATCCTCTCATCCTAGAGACACTCTATCATCCTTAGGGATTCAGATATCACTCTTTCATTTCCTATGCTGATATTGAAACCTTATTTTTAAGGTTTTAATATTTTTTTATAACTTGCGCTGCATTCACACAGGAAGCGACGCAATGTGACAGAGCGGCTGGAGGTCATTCATTTTCAATGAGAGCTGGCGATTTCCAGCGATGCGACAAAGTTGCGATGAGCAACCAGCGATCTGGGCAAAAAGGCGAAAAGTCGCTGTCGGTCTGAATGTAGGGTTAGAATATAAAATGAGCTATTTCTATTTGAAGCGCTTCCCTTAACGTGAGCATCTAAAAGTCGGCTATCGTGCTCAAACTACTCAAACACTCAAATGCACAGCTTACATCACATCAGACAGTGTAGTCATGTGGTATTCATGGCTAGATCCCAGTACTCAGTACTGACACGTGCTGCTGGAGTTTTTAAACACTCACTGTCCACTCTATTAGACACTCCTACCATGTCCGTCCTCCTTGTAGATGTAAAGTCAGAGACGATAGCTTATCTGCTGCTGCACAGTTTGTGTTGGTCATCCTCTAGCCCTTCATCAGTGGTCACAGGACGCTGCCCACAGGACGCTGTTGACTGGATATTTCTGGTTGGTGGACTATTCTCAGTCCAGCAGTGACACTGAGGTGTTTAAAAACTCCAGCAGCACTGCTGTGTCTGATCCACTCAGACCAGCGCAACACACACTAACACACCACCACCACGTCAGTGTTACTGCAGTGCTGAGAATGATCCACCACCCAAATAGTACCTACTCTGTGGTCCATGGGGGTCCTGACCACTGAAGAACAGGGTAAAAGGGGGCTAACAAAGTGTGCAGAGAAACAGATGGACTACAGTCTGTAACTGTAGAACTACAAAGTGCACCTATACAGTAAGTGGAGCTGATAAAATGGACAATGAGCGTAGAAACAAACAGGTGGTCATAATGTTATGCCTGATCGGTGTATATATTTATTTCAGTTTTTGTTAACTCCCATTTAAGACATTTCAGCCTTTGCTGCATAAATAGGGTTGCACTTTCACTTCAAGAGTAGAACACGCTTGCTGAGTTTTTTGTTTTGTCTGCGCCGCACCTGCTGTTTGCTTTGTTTTGGCTCGTGGCGCTCGAAGGATTTAAGAGCTTTGCGGTACATTGTGGTGAGGTAAGTACAGCCGATCATCTTTTGTTTGTTATTTAAATCTGCCTGCACGCAGAATGGTGTCTCTCGGCCGGATCCGAATCATCTGCATGTATACGCTGCAGTGTTTACGCTAGCCGTTGTGATCAGTAATCTTGTTGCTGGCGGTCGGTGCGGCAGTTGGCGGAGCCTGCTTCTGGTAGACAGGTTGCGCTGGGTTGCTCTCATTCAGCCCTTGCCGGTCTCTCCATGCAGGAGCCCAGCTGATTCATCTCTCGGCCCAGCAGGGCACAGGACTGCCAACTGCACTGGTTTTGTGCGTTGAGAGAATTGGAGAAAGGAGGGAAAAAACAAGTCATCTCAACCTAGAACCTGTATTTGTTGAAATTAACTTGTTCTGGGGACGTTAAAATGCCAGTCAAAGAAACGCTTTGAAAGACAGACCACTTTTTGGTGCTGCATCACCCTCAATAACACCAGATTGTAGCCACGGAGCAGACAGCACGTACATCAGGGCTGCAAGATGAGAACACAATTTGTCATTTGACCACATAAATGCCTTTGCAGCTTTCTGTGATATTAATATTGCAAATGCCGACTTCATGATATTGATTAACATTGTGCAGACCTAATATAGAGTATACATGCGCACACCGATCAGGCATAACATTCTGACCACCTCCTTGTTTCTATGCTCATTGTCCATTTTATCAGCTCCACTTACTATATAGGTGCACTTTGTAGTTCTACAGTTACAGACTGTAGTCCATCTGTTTCTCTGCATACTTTGTTAGCCCCCTTTTACCCTGTTCTTCAGTGGTCAGGACCCCCATGGACCCTCACAGAGCAGGTACTATTTGGGTGGTGGATCATTCTCAGCACTGCAGTAACACTGACGTGGTGGTGGTGTGTTAGTGTGTGTTGCGCTGGTCTGAGTGGATCAGACACAGCAGTGCTGCTGGAGTTTTTAAACACCTCAGTGTCGCTGCTGGACTGAGAATAGTCCACCAACCAAACATATCCAGCCAACAGCGTCCTGTGACCACTGATGAAGGACTAGAGGATGACCAACATAAACTGTGCAGCAGCAGATGAGCTATCGTCTCTGACTTCACATCTACAAGGTGGACGGACAAGGTAGGAGTGTCTAATAGAGTGGACAGTGAGTGGACACAGTGTTTAAAAACTCCAGCAGCACTGCTGTGTCTGGTCCACTCGTACCAGCACAACACACACAAACAAAGAAACAGATGGACTACAGTCTGTAACTGTAGAACTACAAAGTGCACCTATATAGTAAGTGGAGCTGATAAAATGGACAATGAGCGTAGAAACGAGGTGGTCATAATGTTATGCCTGATCGGAGTATTTTTAAATTGAACTCTACTCTTGAAGCCATCGTGTAGTACTGTCCTGTCTTTTTTTGACATGGCATTAACGTAATTGACAAGGCAGTAATTGCAAATGACTCATTAAGTGACAAATCTCATTAACAGGATTTTTATCAGTCAGTCATTCTCGGCAGCTTGTTAACAGATTGCGTCCTGTGCTTCCCCCCCCTCCCCCTTGGCATTCAACAAACATTTTTGAGTGCAATTCACATGGCTGGTACCCAGGTGGCAGTACAGTACCAGCCATGTGTCAGGACTGAAACTCTGTCCACTATTTCTGCAATATTAGCAGCTCTATGTGCCTCTTTTTGTTAGAATCTAAACACCTGCGTTTTTAAAATCGGTCCAGGTTGTAAAGAAGGTGAGGACACCGAACAGACCTCGGCGCCCTCAGACGGAGCGAAGTTTCTAAATAAGTACTCGCTGGAATTGAGTACTTGTGGTCTGTGATTGATTTTCATCTTTGACATGTTAGGCTTAGATTGATCCTGAAAGGTCCACTGAGCTTCTGAGTCAGATTAGTTCTAGGCAGGAGGTCGAACGCTTGCTGTTGATTCTGCTGCTTTGTGAGCACAACGTCTTTGTTCAGTCCTTGTTTTTCCTCTTACTGATCTGCACAGCTATTTGTGGATCCTTTGTGCGCTTGAAGGCAGTAAAAGAAAGGTCACATTCTTAAATAAATCCGTCAGAAGATGCTATCTCTCCGCCAAAGACGACGGCATTTTGGAGAGTCGTGAGGCGCCTTAGTTTTATTTTGATTTAGAGCACATTTTCATTCCCTGCTATTACGCACAGGGCTGTTTGCATTGTTTAGATGCTGCACTCTCATAGTGTGAGCTGCTTCACGCCCACATGGTGACTAATGCTGCGTGATTTCACGTGAACTGTTTACTGATTCTTTCTTTAGCAGGCATTTACGTGTGCCGGTCCACAAATGAATTATGTATGGCCAACAAGTTCGATGTCCTGATGCATAGCAAGTGTCTTCTGTTAATAATGCATGACTCCTACATCATTGTCCCCTTCCCCCTGCTTTAAAGTTATCAGAGACTGCTCCAGACCATCAGTGTGCTGGAGGCCCAGCGAACCCAAGCCATCCTGGACCTGGAGACGCTGGCCCGACACCAGAAGCAGGCCCTGGCTGACCCCATTGCCTTTGTGGACCAGCTTCAGAAACAGGTAACACGGCAGCATCTTGGCTCCGGGAATATATGCTGTATTGATCAGTGTCGTGGTATTGGCCTTTGCGGTTGTGATATCACAAATAAGCCCTTGAACCAATCATTCCATCTTTCTTCGTGTGCTGTGAGCATCCTGACTCATTCTCAGATGTCCTGAATGAGAAGTGCACTACATTCACAGTGTGGTATACCTGTATATTAATATCATAGTGTTTGAAGTGGCCCATTTCCAGCAAGAGTCGTCTGCTGAATTCTGAAGTTCATGTCTGTGCTTTGCAGGTTGAGTTGGGCTTGCCCTGTCCTCAGAGAGTGGTCCAGCTCCCTGAAATTGCATGGGACCAATACACCTCAGGCCGCAGTGAATTCGAAAGGGAGTTCTGCGACAAGAAGCGCAAAACAAGGCGGTTGAAGTTGATCTTTGACAAAGGTATTTTTATTTTTTTTGCTGTTGTTGTGTTTTTTGGTCTTCGTTTATGCTGTTCAGTCACAGCACATGTAGAGAATGTATGTTTCGCTATATGAAAGGGGTAGATTTACTGGGCATGCTCGTTTTCTGGCTGCTCACTTTGAAAAATGTGTTGTGTTCGTGGATCCGTTCTCAGTCGGGTGAATTGGCTTTATTGTCAGGCATATTTTATTTGTATGTGTTCGGCGACACAGTCACACAAACGTTTGTTTGAGCATTGTTGAACTGTTAATCTAAAGTTTCTATCCAATACATGTTTGGTTGTTGTGCAGAAAAGCACCTGTGAACATGGTTTTCTTATATAACCTTAAGAAGCTTTAATTGATCCTTATTGATATGTTTGCTGATGCCAGTAAATCTGTGACTGTCAAACAATATATTGACCAAACCCCATATGAAGGTTCTATTATTAGGTGGCCCCACCTTAAGGACTTCCACTCTTGAGAACTAAGCGTTTCTTATTTGAGGACGTGAAGTTTAAGACTATGGCGATTTCTCCAGTTCCAGTACTGACAAGCCAAATGAACCAGTGTGAACTGGGGGCGAACATTCTAGACCAGTGTGAATACGAGTTAGTGTTTGTTGGAGAATACTGGATCATTGTGCTTTGGCCCTTGTGAGCAAACTATGAATCTTTTATGCATTGTTGCTGGCGTTGGTCACATGTTACGACGCTGTGCTTACAGTGGGGTTACCGGCAAGACCAAAAAGTCCAGTGGATTCCAAGAAGGAGAGCGACAGCTCTGCTCTTTACTCGTCTCTTCCCTCTAGTGATGCTCCAGAACACAGCATGTCCAGCAACAGAACACAGGTGAGTCCCTTCCTTCACGCAGTTTGAGTCACCTGTCTGGTGCACACTTCACTTAACCGTTTCACTGAACATTCAAGTCTTGTGCAGTGATACACGCATCGTCATACACTTGTGAGTTACCAGAGTGGGGCTTTTATTAGAGACGGACCATTCAGTGTTTCTGGGGCCGATCGCCAATCGCCTTTCAGCAGGATCTGCCAATAGCCGATACTGATGGAGGGCGTAGCTAGACGCCACATTTAAAGGCGCGGAAGCGATTCTCGACAGCAAAGCAAACAGAACCCTATCCCCAGTGCTCATTCAGAAACTCAGCCCCTACAATTCATGGAAGCAGATTGCCAAAGCGAATGGCACCTTTTGAAATCTTCGTGGCCATAAAGCCCTTTACTGTACAGCTAAATGTCATGATATAATGTTAGAGAAAGTCATGTAATTAACTGTCGTAAGCTAGCTAGGTTGTGGGTTTGCAAGCGGTCACTACAATCACTGCAGCGAAGCTGAACACAAACATTACCAAACCAGACACAACAATACTGACTCAGCTTCTTATGCGCCGGCTTCTTGTTTGAATTTTCCTCGTCCACCTTAAATGGTGTAGCATTAACATTCTGGTGCCTCACATTAGTGTAACCATTGAAATAACCAGAGCCTACGCACCCGGCACAGCTAACAGGACAAAACAGTCCTCCTGCTTTTAAATGTGGGCTGCCACACGATCGCTTTTGTAGTTCTGCTGTTTATTTTTTGTATTCTGTCCCTGCCAAAGCCACAGGTCATGAAGCTAATGCAGTGTAAGCTAAGCTAAGATTAAAGCTTTGAAATCTACATTACTTACAGCTCTACATGTTCACACAGCAAGATTACAGCAACATAATATACTTAAGGAAAATGTTTTTCGTTAGTAAAAAAGATATGACGGAGCTGAAGTTGTCTTTCTATTTGCCAGCTTCTTGTTAAAATCTTCCTGTTCCGCCTTAAATGGTGCATCAGTTACATTCTGGCACCTCAGGGTTAAAATGGCTCATCTGTTTTACGTCACTGTTCAGCTCTTAGGATCGGCTAAGGTAGAGAAATATTGGCAGATCGTATATTTGACGCTGAAAATTAGCTGATACTGATACACGGCCATTCGAGCCTTCCATGTCTAGCGTTTAATCTCGCTTAATAATCTGTATTTAATGGATTATAAGGGTGCTTTTATCTGTATACCTTCCTGAGATTGTATATCCACCAATGTTCTGACTAATAAAACAGGACCACAAGATTGCTATAGTTTTGTCTCAGTTTGATACCGTGATGGGGAGACTAGTATTCTGGACACTCCCCACCTGGACACTTTATTTCAGTTCCAATATATGCACATATTTATTCAGTATTGACATTATATGCTCGTACCTGCTCCTCCTTGTACAGTCATTATTGCACTGCCTTTTTCATCTCAGGTTATAGATCTCATTGCAGATTTTTGTATATTTCTGTTTGTATATATGCCTGTAGATAGGTTTTTTTTTATATATATATTCTTTCTTTTATATTGTTTCAGCCTTATTATTATTACTGTCCTGTGTTGTGTGACTGCTACTGGGTGCTAAATGTCCTTTGGGATAAATAAAGTATCTATCTATCTATCTATCTATCTATCTGACACTTTTGTCTTTATAGTGTATTTAATATACTTCCAGTGCATATATACACTTCATATTTATACACTCAATGCCTTCTGACTTTAAATATGAACCAAAAAGTATAAACAAATGTTTAAGAAATAAAATTAATACAGGAAAAAAAAAACTTGGTTTCAAAGTTGTTGTTGTTGTTGTTGTTGTTGTAGTTGTTGTTGTTGTTGGCAGTTACATCACTGAGAAGTCTATGGCGAAAAGTAAACATTGTGGTTCAGTTTTGCCCAGTTCCTCTTGGCACCCCCCCCCCTTTTTAAATGAATGGTTTTATTTTCAAGCTCACTTCACAGTGCAGTGAACAATGAAACATTACATGTAATAACAGTTACGTGTTCCTGATCTTTTTTCCCGCTTATTGTACAGAACAAAACAGTAGGTACAGACAGGAACAAGGTCGTCCCTTCAGCATTTTCCCCCCACCCTCCTCCTTCTACCGTTTTTTTTTTCTCAGCACATCGCAGTAAAATGGTGAACACCAGCTGGGAAAAATATAAAGATTTCTAGAAGAAACCACCCATAAATAAAGGCCAATAAACCAGTTTGCCTGTGCACGTCTCAGTGTTCATTAATTGTAGTAAAACACATTCAGATTCAGAACAGCCTTTGTTTGGAGCTGCTCAGGTTGCTGCAGATACATTCTCCAAATGCCTGAGTGTGTTTGGCTCCCGATGGTGCAGCAGGCGAGGCTTTACAGCCCGAACATATAATTTAGTTCTCAGCAAACTGGAAGATAACGACTGATCTCTTTACTTGCGCTGTGAGAGGTGGGGGAGGGGCAGACGGAGAGGCAAACAACGGTGTTTTGGAAACAGCCATTTTGTGATTGATGTATGTCTCTTGGCACAAATAGAAAAGTCCTGCGACCTGCCTCCCTCGGTTATTTTTCTCTTCTGTGTGGGGGCCGGCGATACAGACTGAATCTTTTATTACAGTTTCTTCCACTGTGTGGACAATAATGCTGGGATGTCATGATAAATATATGTAGATAAACGTGATATTTCTAATTGAGCAAATTATTATAAATAAAGCAGATTTTAGTCCAAGAGGGCGTAATTATCCTCGCTCTCTCTGGGTCGGTAGAATGATCCTCCCTCCGTGATGCCAGCCAGCAGGGGGCGTCTGTTAGCTGACATAGCAGCATTGTCAGTTTGTGTTCTCCTCCAAGCGTGTTGAGCTGTCCACATGCTAGCCTTCACCTTCCCAGCATGGAAGCTTCTTGTGATGGGGAGAGATGGAGGAGAACTGGAGAGAAAAAGGCTGCTGCGTTACTGTTTCGCTACAGAGTAGAGCAAAGGTCTTTAATTAAAATTCAGTAAGGTCCAGATAAAGAACATTTCCTCAAGCAAAGGTTCAGAACATCATAATGTCTAACTTGCATCATGATTCAGTGCCTTATACTGTTCACTGAAGTAGCCTAGTAGGTATATCAACATCTTATACAGCCAACAACTGAATGTTAAATCAAATAAAGTACAATTAAGTCGAATTTCAACAACATTTATTGTCAGTTTTCTCTTTTTAGAGGACGCCACGTAAAATAATCTGGCTCACTTTCTTCTCCGACTGCTGTTTCTCGCCTCGTCCTTCCCCGGTGTGTGTGTCACTCACTCGAGTCACAGTGCTCATCGTAATACACAGATCTGATTGGCTGAGCAGCATCACATGTGATTTTTACAACGCATGCGATTGGTCTGCGAGTTTCCCAGGCCGCTAATCCAGTACTGTAATGACTAGAAATGATACGCCGATTAAAGTAGGACCACCCGGTCGAAATTAAATAATTCTCGGTTATAGGTCCAGGTCCGCGTATGACAGCGCCTGGGTCCGGACTCGGACCGCGGTCCACCTATTAGTGACCTCTGGAGTAGCACATCCTAACAACATCCTTTCGTACCTGTGTATCTCTCATCCCCTGCCCTGCTGCGTCACGCTCGTTCTGCTGTTAGTTAAAAGACGTTTTTGTGTTTGTGAGAGAGGCAGAGAGAGACGCCGTGTCTCTCTTTGATGCTCCGGATGTTTCTCTCTGTGTTGGCAGATCTAGAGTGTTGAAATTAAGTCACTCTGATTTATCTGTATATCACACTGCTTCAGGGGCACCAGGGTCAGGGCGGACTTCTCTTCGTCTAGACCGTGCGTACGTCTCTGATGGATAGAGCGTGAGGAGTGCGTCACTAGGGTCGTTTAAAAGAACCACACAGCTGAAGCTGGTGATGTGTTGATGGCTCTAGTTTGTTTGAGAATCTTTAAAGCCATCGCCACAGCCAGCCCAGAACAAGCCCTGAGGTCACTAAAAGACAGCTCAGTAAATCTTCTTTTTAATTTAGGCTTTGGCTTAGTCTGGATCTGGGAAACTGACCCTGAATTGCTTTGGCTGGGATTCAGGTTAAATGATAGTGGTTACAGTCGGCACTGTAATCCCATTGGCATGCACATAAACTCAGTCCTTAACGAATGGAAATGCAGGGATTGTTGGAGTTTCTCCACTAGTTCACTCTTCACAAACTTACACTGCACTCTCAGAAATAAAGGTACTAAACTGTCACTGGGGCTGTACCCCTCTTGTCACTGGGATGGGACCCTCAAGGGTACATCTCAGTACCTTTAGTCAGGGAACATTAATTGTACCATAATCCATTGAAATTATATTTTCTAAGTCGTTTTGACTCCACACACCCCGTCTCGTCTCCAGGCTTTTTGTTTTATTGTTCTGTTTTAAAACATTCGGTTATGAAAAGGTACAAATACAAACTTTTCACCTGGATAAACTTATTTAAGGTGCACAGTTGAACCTTAAAACCACTGTTGAACCTTTGAGGGAACATTGAGATTGTTTGTACCGTGATGAATGAAAAATGTACCTGCACAGAACCTTTATTTCTAACAGTGTAGTGTGGCTGAGTAACTGCAGGAATGAGTAAAAGATGAGTAAGAAGTTTGTTCACTAAATATTAATGTTTTGCCCACCTGTGTCCTGTTGGATTGGTGATTTTGTTGTGCGGGGAGAAAAAAATCTACAGTATAAAGAGGGAAACATTAATTAAACAGGGTTTGATTTTCTCCCTACAGTTTTTAGAGTCGGTAGAAAATCCAGTGATGATGAAAACAGACATTTGCTTATGTTGCTTTGACAAAGCGTCCCCGGTCATGTTGATTGGATGTGCAGAAATGAGTGCTGTGGTCCAAAAAGTCTGCGTGTTTCGAAATTTTCGGCGCTGGCTGGCAGGGATAGCAGACTCAACAGTGTCTTCAATAAATAAGCATCTACAACTGGAAGTATTTGGTTTTACTTTAACCTTATGTCCTCTCCTGTTGATGATCTGTAGGGATGCAGCGATATAGGAATTGTGGGCCAGTGAGCCAGTATTTTTTATGTACGTATATGTGAAATATCTGCCAATACCAGTATGATTTCTGAGTAGGTGTCTTTTGCTTAACCCTGTCATGAATAGTGACCACATACAAGGACAGTTAATTTGTAATAATTTTTTTGTTAATGAATTGTTTTATGAATTGGTTTTCCTTGAGTGCTGACCCTCTCAGTGCAAGATGGCAGACAGTAACTACTTTTAAATAAATAAATATCCTACAGTTTCGGTCACGTGTTTTTTCTGTTGTGTTCGCCCTATTTGGGACCAAATTTCTGGCTTCGCTGCTCCGCATGAGCGTAACTGTAGGTGAAAGATGGCTAAAACTACTTTCCTTACTTTGGAAGAGAAAAAAAGTGACCTCGACGAAGTCAGTAAAACAGGCTGTGATCCTGATACAGTTTCCTCCTGAACTCCTGATCCTACCTAAACTCAGAAAAGCTACCAAATTTGTGTTTACCTGACATTTATATTGATCTCATACTCAGCCCCTCTCCCTATTCTGGAGAGTCTCTCACAGCATTTAAAAGCACAGAAGCCCACCGGCTCTTGATGTCAGGGTGGGTAAAGGATCCCATTGTGTTGCATAAAGAGGAGAAAAACTGTCATCATAGGAGGAACGACATCAGCTAATTAACACAGATGTGATCAATGCCGGCCTTTAGATAACTTTAGCTGATGTTAACAGCCGAGAGATGAACAGTCGTCCCCTAACGGAGCTGCAGACAGCCGGTATAACTTTACTCTCTGTTTCTGATTTAAATGAGATTTGAATGGAGAAACATAAGCGTTAAATATCAGACTGAATGTCGTGGGTCGGAAAATGACGTCGTGTTTCGACAGACGTGATTCTGTAAGTTTGCTAGTGCAGTTAGTTCAGAGTTCAGCTCCAGTCCTGAAACCCCTGCACTGCATAACTGTGGTTTCCTGGTTAAAATACCTGATATTATTAGCTAATTAATCCCTTCTTGAGCTGAACGAGGTGTGAACAGCAGAGAGAAACACTAAACTATACAGTGCAGCGGCTCCAAACCTGGAGTGAAAACACTGAATTAAAGGTCTGTGTGTCTCTCGTCTCTCGGCTTCCGTCCCGTCTTGCAAGTGAATCATTTACGAAGCACAGCAAATTGAAGGCGTCGCGCAGCGCAGTCACTCCCTGATTCGGTCCTCAAAGTGGCTGCCGCTATACTGTGTTACGTCATTAGAAATTTATTTACATCCAAAACTAACTCTCCACATGGTGGACATCATGCAACAGTGGACATAATTGCATAAAATTCTGTTCTAATCTGTATATAGTTTTGATAAACAAAAAAATAGATGCACATTGTCTTTCTGACAGACTGCAATAGACAATAGACATAAAGCATCAGATATGAAAGCCTCTGTTTCGCTGCATCATAAATGAAGAGGTTGCGTGAATGACAGCAGCAGCAAAGTGTGAGGGAACAGCAGGTTTTGTGCTTTGGGTGATCACTTCATCAAGAATTGATCTGTAAGATAATTGATTATAGACTATTCGTTGTAGCCCTACTGTTAAAAGAAGCTTAGTTGATCTTCATGCCAGTCTGGTTCCATCATCGTTTACTTTGCTTTGCTTTAATTGATCTTCTCTTTGACGTTTGACTTAAACGCAGACAGCATTCAAATGTCACAACTCCAAGCACAGCTGCGGTTGTGCTCTATGTACTGTGTGATTCTAAGGCACTTTCACAAGCATCTCTAGTGAAGGACGATGGGCACAAGATGTTCAACAGGATACAAAGTCTCAAATAGCTTTCCTTTGGAAATGGTCCCATCTGATATGGTACTGCATGTTTGGGAAATGCTTTCCAGTGACGTCAGGCTCTGTTTGTTCATCTTATTAACAAATCGAACACAGAAAAATTTTGTTTTTACATCTTAACGTCGTGACTGTAAGAGCTATAATGCTGTAAAAGGGAATGTTTTCTTTTAATGCTGTTGGGAGTTTTCTTGTTCTCTGCCTTAATAGATTTTTACTTTTGTCTCTTGCAGATTTCCCCCTAAATGGGCATTGGGCCTCATTCACCAGTGTCTTTTTCCAAAGTTTTTTCTTAAATCTGTTCTTGAGAAAAGATCCTAAGATAAAAGTCTACGTCAGATCCATGACGTGTTCTTAAACCACATAACTGTTCTCACCTTTGTGCTCTTGAGTGTGTAGATTCTGTTCTTACCTGAGAACAAATGCCAAATAAGAAAACACTGGTGAATGTCAGAATCTTTGTGAGAGCGTAAGTGGATTTTAAGAAGAAATGTCTTCTTAAGACCGTTTGCTGAATGAGGCCCAACGTCTGTTTGCCTGTCTTTAATCGTTGTTTGTCAGTCAAGAAATTTTTAGTGGTCAGAGATCATCTATATAAACAAACATGCTTTTAAAAATAAATATCTGCCAGATTACCGTTGCTTTGCTGACCAGTAGCATTGCTGCTCTTACAGATGATCAGAGGGAGACCGTATCACCAGAACAAACCAGACACGTTTAACCAGCTGTGGACGGTGGAGGAACAGGTAGACCTGAATTCTCACAGAGCCTAACTGTCGATTGAACTTAAGCCATTTTGGAATAAATCTCATTGCCACTGTTAAGTGCCAACCTGACCCCAGTTAATACTAGATAAAGGATGGAGAAAAAATAACTACTATCCTGTCAGTGGTCGAAATTGTTAGTTTTCTTTGTTAAACGATACTAAAAAAGGTTTGAAAATCATTGAAATAATTTTGTCACAGGTATTACTTTAAAAGAACGTCTCATGCTTCTTTAAAACACCAAAAGTTCATAGGTCATAGCATTACTACTGTTTACTGTTCAGGTTATAACTTTGCAAGCATGCAGTTGTCCAGGCATGTGCATTGCAGGGTGATTGTAGCAGAGACCATTTATTTTCCCTCTGATTTTAAAATAATTGCACAGTTATTAGATCTGATTGAATGGAAAGTTTAAATAACATAATTATAGTTGGCTTTTGTACCTCAGTATATCATCAAAACCGCTAATCATCCCATATTGTCAGTGACTGATGCAGTCTGGTTTTCTTGTGTTGTGTGTTGTTTATCTTAGGTATTGTTATTTAACACATTTCCTGTGCAAAGCTTTTTTTCTCGTCTGTGCATGGAGTAAAGTCCCTTTTCTGCTCTGTGTAGAAAAAGCTGGAGCAGCTGCTTCTGAAGTTTCCACCTGAGGAGGTGGAGTCGAAACGTTGGCAGAAGATCGCAGATGAACTGGGGAACAGGACAGCCAAACAGGTGACTCCTCCACAGTCTCTGTTTTGATGCTCTGTCTGTTTTCCTTTGCCAAAATATTCTCCATTTGGAGATGGAGAGTCACATTTTTTAAAATAATAAAGTACTCCTGCTATTCAGCCTTTCCAAAGTCTTTCACAAGTAATTTAACATCTGAAAGCCCCGACTCCAAAGCAGATGTTGTGTGTTAACCTCAGCATCTCTGTTTCTGTCTCTGCTCTAGGTTGCCAGCCGGGTGCAAAAGTACTTCATCAAACTGACAAAAGCTGGGATTCCAGTACCAGGAAGAACTCCGAACCTGTGCATGTACAGCAAAAAGGTACTGCCTCTGTTTTTAGTGATGGGTCTAAATCAGGGGTCGGCAACCCAAATGTTAAGAAGAGCTGTTTTGTGCTTTCAATAAAAATCAAACCACCTTGAGAGCCACAACATTTTATGTCCATTTTACCACCTTGGCTGTAAATATGTCTCAGTATGTGCTGATGTACTAGTAAAGGCTAAAAAATATAAACAAAAACACAGACTTAGCTCTGCTTTAAGCTTTAGCTCAGCTATAGGCGCTTTTCTCGTATCTCCGGCAGGAAACTTTGTAAAATGTCTCTCAGTGTACAGTTTTTTTACGAGGCTGTTTGAACCGTTCCATCTTAAATGGTGCCTGACGTGCCAGAATGTAACTGCTGCATCATTTTTAAGGTGGAATGGGAAAATTAGAAGAAGTTGATGTCAGCTTTGACTTTTTAGTGTTTGTCAGTTTCTTGTTGCAGATTAAACGTATCAGGAAACCAGCTGGAGTGATTATAAATGTGAACGAGTCCATTCGTCTCCAAATTATTGATGTTTGTCTTAAATCTCCCTCTTTGCCGTTTCGTTAGCTACTGTCTAGGCGAGATTGTTGTCTGTGTTGCTATGGTGATCAGCAGTCTGTGCTGATCTTCAGGTTTAAAGGGTGAATCAGCAGTTCTACATTAACTCCAGTGTTTAAGACCATTTATTGTTAAACTGTGTTGAACGATCAGCAGAGCTTTATTTTACTGTAAAGGAGGATTATTTTATTTTTTACCTAAAAAGTCTAATTCTGCTGTGGAGCCACAACAGGGCAGTAAAAGAGCTGCATGTCGCCTGTTCTAAATCTTTTTGTCCTGTTGTGAGTGAATTCTGCTCAAATGCAGAAGTTGTCATGGCATTAAGTTACATGTGGAAACTTCTCAGAAGCAGTGCACATTTTCAGCTGTGTTTATTTAATCACGGTTCCAAACAGCATTCTAAACCAGTGTTTCTTAATCCTGCTCCTGGAGAACCACTGGCCTGCACGGTTTCAACTGTTCCCTGTCTAAACACACCTGAAACAGATCATGAAGGGCTCAGTGAGCTGAATCATGGATGCGTCATGAACACTGTCTTTTATGTGAGACCGTCCATCATTGGAGTAGCAGTGAAATGAACAAACCAGGGATGTACCCAGTCCGATATGTGGGAACGAGTATCCACCATATGTCAAAGTATAAGGCATCTAGTTTTTTCAGTGTTCCATCACTGTTTCTCCCATTTTTTTGGTTTATATTAGCTGCAAACACTGAATGATGACCACCGTGATGTTCAAATGGCACTGCACAGTTTGATGGGACAGTGCTGTTCCCAGTGGTTATTGAATAGATAGTAACTGACAGTATGTTCTCTGCAGGCCTCCAGTAAAAGGCATCACCACCTCAACAAGCACCTGTACAGGCCGTCCACCTTCCTCACCTCCTACGAGCCGCCCGTCTACATGGACGATGAGGACGAGCGCCCCAGCTTCTTCAGCAGCCTGCAGGACAACGCGGCTGACGACTCGGTCAGTGTCTGGTTAGGATCTGTCTGATAAGCAGATGATCTTCATACAGTCCTTTTTGTTCTTTGAAGTTTGTGTCTTTCTTTGCCCAGACATTTTCTGTTTGGTGTTGCTTTTTGTTTTCAAAGCGAATCTTTGATTCGGTATTCTCAGATTCCACTTACTAAAATAAATAGTCTGTCAGTGGGTGGAGCCAAACAGCCTAACAAATAGCAGCAGATGCGTGTCTGTGTGTCTGTGTGAACAGCAAAAACGCACTGAATCTGACATTTTCAATTCCGATTTAGGACTCTGTCATATGTGGTCCTGAAATCCGATACAGATCCGATGTGCGGCAGTGCGACTGAATTCATGCGACTTTTACGTCAATCCAACTCAACGTTCATCATAATTTAGTGCTGCTAAGACCTCATAAACATTTGAGACGTTTTTGTACAAACAAAATTAGAAGACACTTCTCTAAGCTTCTCAGTGTTCGAAGAGATTTCAAAGGAAATGGCCGAATGTGGCCGTAGGAGAACGAGGCTGCAGTGTCAAAAGTAAAAAATCTGAAAGCAAAGTTTAAAAAAGCAAGGACGCGAACCAAAGAAGTGGCCGTGCCCTTTTTACAGGGAGCTCGAACACACTCTGGGTGATGAGCCAGGCTGAACGTCTTATTAGCTCCTGTGATGCTGGCGAAGATGAGACTGAAAGCTCCAGGAACGGCGTTTACTGTTGATTCTTTTCGGTTGTTTACCTCTGCATGAGCCACGTGAAGCATTGGTCTTTTGCACATGCAGGTCAGTTTAGGAGCTGATCTGTTCAGCCTAACAAAAAAAATCTAATTTGGCGAGAAAATCAGATTTGGGCCACTTTTACATGGTGGGTGTATGTAGCCTAAAGCTACTTTTGAAGGCTAGAACAGCACTTCAGTTGGCGGTATTAGTTAACAATGTGAGAAGACTAACAAGAATTGTTATTAGGGATGCACTGATATGGGAACTGTGGGCTGACGCAGATATCTGATACTGAACTTATCTGCTGATCCCGGTACATTAACGTTCGTAAAATATAGAAGTTGGGCCTAAAACTTTCTGAACCAGCATTAGAAGGAGATGTAACATTTATTTCTGTAGCTTTACGAATGCAGTGATGAATAATATGCAGAAATTTTAGCACAGTAGCCCAGCGTCTCCTCATTGTTGTGCTGTTTTGGGGTACAATAAATACATCATCTAATATAAGTTTGAAATATTACTCAAATCTGGCAGGTAATATTTTTTAGGCAATTGTCTAGTGGCATTAAAATGATTCTGATAACATTATGCATCCCTGATTAGTATTCTGAGCTAATATAGTAAAGGGGTAAAAATAGAAAGCTACAAAGCATAATTTTATTAGAATTCGTTTGTATTTGCTTAAAACCTCAGTGGAGAAGTGCCGTTTCTGGACCGGTCTATTTTTACCACAATGTAGCAGCATGCAAAAAAAAAACCTGACCGTATCTTATCACTTCTTACTTAAAGTACTTTGCCAGCCAGACTCATGAGGTTCGATGGAAAGGTGAGACTTTCCCGGTCGGTGTCAGTCTATTCCTGTGATTATCTGCATCCTATCTTTAGACTCTGTTCAGAGGAGCATTACAAATGACCAGGCTGTCTATGTTGTGTGGGTGTGTGTTACAATCACTGGCTTTTTCCTGTCTCCCACTGAACCGTAAGGGGTGGGTGGGATGTGCTCCGACAAATTCACCACAGAGCTTTGACGTTTTCCCTTCTGCTCTCTGATATGTAACCTTTATGTGCTGATGGGTCAGTGGGCCGTGGTGAAAACATGGGCAGCGTGGGTTGCTTTGCGTCAGGACAACTTTGGCACACCAAACGGATTGGTTTCACAGGACCTGACTGCAGATTTGCTTTTGGAGCTTAGTTGGAAAAACAGAGCATAGCTTTGGTTTTAGGTTTTTGTATTGAGCCTCAGTTAGGTCCTGCTTTTCATTGGCTTTAATGAGTAGTTTAGAGGACCTTCATGAGATTTAGCATTGGCAGTTTTTTAGTGTAAGCTCTGACTGGGAAGAATGTTTTTAAAAGTGAGTACATTTATTGCTAGAACTGCACTTCAGTTGGCGGTATTATTTAAGAATATGAGAAGACTAACAAGAATTGGTATTGGGGATGCACTGATATGGGAACTGTGGGCTGGCATATCTGATACTTTAATGAACTTATTTGCTGATCCCGGTACATTAACGTTTGTAAAATACAGAAGTTGGGCCTAAAACTTACTGAACCAGCATTGGAAGGAGATGTAATTCATTTCTGTGGCTTTACAAATGCAGTGATGAATAATATGCAGACATTTCAGCACAGTAGCCCAGCGTCTCCTCAGTGCTCTGCTGTTTTGGAGTACAGTAAATACATCATCTAATATAGTTGCATTTATTATTATGTTACATTTAGTAATTGACTGTAATGACGTGATTTATGGAATGCGGTTGGCTTTCATGGGTAGTTTGGAAGAGCTTTTGTCCTCTAGGATGGTCTGTCAGCCTTGGTTTTGGAAGGTCTGTCCAGGACCTACCGTTCTGAGCAGACTCTAATGAGATGATATGGATTTTGCTTCAGGGTGTCTGTCCAATCTTCCATTGACCTGGAGTGGCAGCAGTATTAAAAGGGCTGTATTATGCTTTTCTGTTTTTCTCCCCTTTAGAGTATTATAGCTTTTTGTGCATGTAAACGGTCTACAAAATTACAAAGCTCAAAGTTCACTGAGGGAGAAACTCTCTCTCACAGAAACCTCTTTTGTCAGCTGCCTGAAACGCCTTGTTGGAAGTCCAGCTCTTTTCCTTTGTTACAAGATGATGCAATCCCCTAACACATTCCTTATTGGACGTCTGTAGCGGCGGAACTTGTAGCAGGATGCCGCTACCGCTTATAGTCACTCTGGTGGTTGACCAACCAGAACAGAGTGGCCAAGCTGACCAGTTAGAGCAACTGGGCTCATTGGGTTCAAACAGAGCATTTCCGACAGGATGAAAAGATGTACAGTATGAGGAAATTGTGTTTTGGACCATTGAAGCATGTGTATCTATTCAGGTAGACCCCAAAAGTAAAATCATGAACACTGAAAATGAGCATAATTCAGTTCCCTTTAATGAATCCTGTGCACTCTGTGGTCTGTTTAGGACGAGGAGGATGTGCCGGTGGAGTTGAGGCACCTGCCGGAGTACAAAGAGCTGCAAGAGCTGAAAAGACTCAGGAAGCGGAAGATCCAGGAGATCCAGAGTGAAAGTGCTCTCGCGCAGCACATGGGCTACAAGGTATTGCGCACACAGGCTCATCTGGCCATGCATGGTTGGAGCTCTGCTGTCCACTCCAAGCAGTGGATTTATTGATTTCTTATTTTGAAGCAATGTCAGAGAAAGCTGAGATTGAAATAGTAGCTCCAGTTCAGTGTAGTGGAAAAGTTACCAACCAGAAAGGAGTAGGACTGGGCACGATTGAAAACGAGTGACACCTGAGAGATTCAGATATATTTAAGGCCCGGTCCCAATTCACCCCTCGCTCCTACCACTCAGCACTTACCCCTCCGTTTTGCGCGTTCACGTCTAGGAGTAGTGTGTTCCGATTTTTGTTGAGATACAGGGGTGGGACGAAGTGTTAGGACTACGTGACCCTCCAAACAGAGGTTTTTCAGAGACTCCAAACAGAGTTATGAGAAAAACAGAAAAAACGGCAAGATGGCTGAACAAGAGACCAAAGAAATCCAAAAAATTTTAAAATATTGTGATAACCATTGTATTATCTTAGTTTGTCATTTCAATGTATTTTGGTCCTTTTCTTCATAACTAGCATAAAAAATTCACTAGTAGTTTGCTGATGTCTTGGTAGCTAGCTAAATTTTTTAAAATTCTTACAAAAAAGCTGGTGAATATCTGACTTCAGCTTCATATCACTGAAGAATTAGGGGTGGGTGATAATAAATAATTGCCCCCCCTCTTTGAAGGCATATGATGCCCTAAATGTAACTAAAGCCCAGCAGTGAGGAGCTGAACTTTACCCTCCTCTGCTGTCCCTGCAGACTGGCAGGGTCGCCTACAGAGCAGTGCTGGTAGCTGTTAATGAAGTGATGCTCTTTTTATTTGAGGGTCCCATTTCATAGGGAAGATTTCAACCACTACCCCTTGTAACTCAGTTCCCAGGGGCAAAATAACACTCGAAAACAAGGGGTAGGGCTAAGTTGCATTGTGTAAAGCTTTATCTCTAAGTGCTGTCCTCATAACTAACTGGACAAAAAACAACACTTTGATGCCTGTTCATGTTGAGCTAAGAGTGTGTTTGGTTTGGATGTGCTACACTACATGTCCAAACGTTTCTTGACACCTGCTCACGTTTCTTCTGAAATCAAGGGTATTAATAGGGAGTTTTCTTCCCTTTGCTGCAGTAATTACCTGCTTTTCTGGGAAGGCTTTATATGTTGGAATAGAAATGGAAACTGGTAGTTCCCGAATCATGGTTACGCATCCAGCATTGTGTAAGTGCATGACCCCTCAGTATTAGCAGCAGAACCTTTGGGTAAAGCAGGTGGCATATCAGGAGGGACTTGTTTAAAGCGGAGTACCAGCTCAAGTGAGCTTTAAGAGGCACGTTAAAGTGTTTGTAAATTTGGCTCTGGTTTAAAAATATTTCTCCAAAGCTCTTTAATGGGTTGTCTTACTTGATCATTTCCATGATGGCATTTACAGCCTGTGTGTGTGTGTCTGTGTGTTCCTCCCTCAGTGTGATGTGTGTGGTATGGAGCCGATCCAGGGTGTGCGGTGGCACTGCCAGGACTGCCCGCAGGACAGCGCCGTCGACTTCTGTGGAAACTGCTCCGACTGGTCAGAACCGTTCTGCTCCTTTTCTCCACTACCAGCTGTCTCTGTATGAGAGAAATTGGATCCACAGGATTTTTAGCAAGAATGGCACTAAGATTTAGTTGCATACTCTGCGTTTGACCGCACTGTTTACTTACTCCAACATACACACTTTACATAATCAGTCAAATGAGTGGTGTTTAAATATGAACTAGTTTAAAAATGTAGATGGAAGAGCAGCACTTTACTGCCAGGAAAGCCTTCCTTGACATCTGCAGGGACATTTTTCAGGCAAGTGAAATTATCATTGTGTCAGCAATAATCACAGTATTAATGCCTAATCAGTGACCTTGGCTGCCATATGGTCTTACATGGCTTTCCAATACAGTTGAGCTTATCTGAGTCGTTACTAGCCAAGACCTGAATTGTCTGTGCTTTGGATTCTGCACAGCACTTATTATTTTTATTTTTTTTAACTTAGTTTTTACTTTTGTTCCTTCCCAGCTGTATCTAGACACTCTTTAATCTCAAATATTACACAGATAAGCAAAAGGGGATCCACTCCAAAATAAGATCAGCCACATGCAGAAGAAAATATTATTAACCCAAGATATAACCAATGAAAATGGGAAGTGAAAGAAGAGAGGAAGGATTTTTAAAAGGGGGAAAAAAAAAGGATTCCTCACTGCTTTATAGTACCATGACACCATTTCGGTTGAAATGAGCTAGCATGTTACAGCAACTGACCTTGTTGCTTAATGTATATCATAGTAACATAATGCTGATGATGTGGCAGCATAAATCTTATAAATCATCAAATGAAACTCACTTTATCTACAAAAAGATAAACACTCAGAAAAATGCATACAACAGTAATGATACATAGAACAGTACAACACATTGCTGCTGTCGGAACAAAACCTTGTATCTTGTATCTACTTGACCCTTATTGTATATCAGCACAACCAGACTTGTTTCCAAGTAATTTCTGACCATTTCTTTTAGGTTAGTTATCATGCAATTTATGTATGTAAAGGACAACAGGCACTTTGAAGATGTTAAAAACTGATAAACAACCAAAGCAGAGATACGAGGTTTTGTTGTGACAGCAGCGATATATGATAAATCATGATGCCAGCTGTTAAAATGACTTCCTCACTGCATTATAGTAGATCCATGACAGGGCTCCATCTCTTATTAAATAAATTCTTAATAAATGTTATTTGTCCCATTTGGTAAATATCCCATATTTGGATCCACAAATGATATGTGGGAGGTTCTGGGTTCTGTAATACGTTTCAGAGCTACTGTTAGTTAATATTTCTAGGTTGTCAGTTATTACCCCCAGTATCGCCACCCTAGGATATTACGGAATATTCTGCAGAAACAGTTTCTTAAGAGCATCAAATACTTCTGTAACTTAGGACAGAGCCAAAATATGTGAGTGTGGTTTCCAATTTGTGCTTCGCAGTTTCTCCAACATGAACTGTTATGTGTTGGAACCATCTTCGACACTTTTTCTGCCGTTCTGAAATATCTGGTGACGACTTTCCGATTGAATTCCCTCCAAATATTTGACTCAGCACTCGTTTCAGTCAGTCAATTCAATATGAATTTCACATGATTTATCTAAACGTTACAGAATTGTTTTACCCTTCACTGTATGGCAGTGTCAGGGCTCAGTGACGCCTTCATAAGCTCATCATGACAACGGACCTAAACCTACATGAACATTTTTTAAAGGCTTATTCCAGTAGACGTCCTCCATCATTGAGGCTGCTTTTGTCAGCTTTAATGCCAAGTTGACATAGCACCTGTCTGATGGCATCATTTTCTTTTCATTGTGTTGCCATGACACCGTTGTGGTTGAAATGAGCTAGCATGTTACAGCAACTGACCTTGTTGGTTAATGTATATCATAGTAACATAATGCTGATGATGTGGCAGCATAAATCTTATAAATCATCAAATGAAACTCACTTTATCTACAAAAAGATAAACACTCAGAAAAATGCATACAACAATAATGATACATAGAACAGTACAACACATTGCTGCTGTCGGAACAAAACCTTGTATCTTGTACCTACTTTGCCCTTGTAAATCAGCACAACCAGACTTGTTTCCAAGTAATTTCTGTGTGTTTCAACGTAAAGGACAACAGGCACTTTCAAGTTATGTTAAAAACTGATAAACAACCAAAACAGAGATATATGAGGTTTTGTTGTGACAGCAGCGATATATAATAAAGCATGATGTCAGCTGTTAAAATGACTTGTACTACAATGACATTCTTTTTTAGCCTTTAATTTAAAGTTTAAATTGGCTAAAAAAGAGCCAGATGTGTTGCAATACTCCAACGTATAGGCGGCTCATTCCTAGTGTGAGCTGCTCTTACTGAAAAAACTTCCGGTGCAAACTTTGAGTAATGGCACCATGTTTTCCATAACATTTGATCATTTGAGCACAGTATTTCATGATGAATGGACCAGTCAAAATGCTCCAAAATTGCAAATAAAATCTCTTTACTAATCATGCATTACAAGTTAAGAACCTTTTTTTGCCTTCTGTAAAGTTGCCATTTTTGAGATTTCTTTGGGACAGTGATTTGTTTATGTAGGTCTTTGTCAGTTGTCATAATGTAGATATGTTATAACTGAAGTTTGGGGGGAGGAACATGCCTGAAACCCCTCCTTCTTCCAATCTAAGGCCCTATGAATTCACATTCTCACCTTCAGTTCCCATGACGAAGCGTTCACAATCCCCACCGCCGCCCCGTCTCCTCCCTGTTCCTCAGTCCTACATCAGTCCTACTACAGCTATGAGGGGATCTGGCCTTCCAGATACAGGCAGAAGCTGCTCAGAACTCCAGCCCAGGTTCTCAGAGTTCTCCCCCTCACTCAATCAGTCTTCACTCATACTACCACCACCATGCTGAAGGCATGGTCTGAGTACAGATTCCATAATGTATAGAAAATTCATGTGAAATTCCTAAGCAGATCAAAACAACTGCTGTGGAAAATCCAGCACAGACTGTTTGGGTCTTGAGGAATAAGAACCCAGATCAACACGACTTTTATCTCAACCAAAGCAGAACTGATTACGCTCCGATGCACTGATAATCCGATTTGCCTGAAAAACATCCCTGCAGGTGTCAGACAGCCCCCACCCCACATTCACTGCCCAGCGTATACAGATTACAAACGGAAGCTAAGCTGTGAAAACAACTGGCCTTCAGTGTTTTTTTCACAAACCAACATATTTACATATATCCCCCCATTCAGCCTACGGCAGTTTAGACCCACCCATTCAAGCTAAAGTCACAGACAGTGTTTCAGTTCGGACGGCTTTTTGAATGAGGCACCACAATCAGGGCAGCCAATCAGTACAGAGCTCGTTTACATATATCAGTCTTAAAGGCAGAGATGAAAGGTTGGAAAATAGTAACGTTAAAGATGAATTTTGAGTATTTTTGGTACATAAACTCTCACAGATGTTAGAAATGGACATCAGGAGATGAGTATCGTCACTGATGAAAAACATGCATCTCCATTTTTTGTGATTTTCACTTTTCTACGTCATTTGAGCGCAGCAGTCATCCTTTACATTTTGTGCAAATTTTATGATGAACGGACCAATAAAAATGCATCGGAATTGCTTAGACTTACATTAAACGTGAAACATTTTTGCCCTCTTCTGTAAAGTTACTGTTTTGGAGATGCATGTTTTTCTTTGGACAGTGACGAGACAGGATATGGGCCCTTTTTGGAATATATAGTGGAGTTGGGTCTGCAGTTTAAGGGGCTTGTTTCTGCTGTACCCATGTAACCCTTCTTACCCCACTTGGTTCCTACAGTTTGTTCAAGACGGAAACCCACAAGCCCAGCCACCGTCTGGAGCCGGTCTACCAGGCCGAGACGTTCCTGGACAGAGACTACTGCCTGCCGCCCAGCGCAGGCTACAACTACCTGGACCCCAACTACTTCCCGGCCAACAGATGACACAAGCGAGGCGGGCTGCAGCCCCCGGGGCATTCCGTGCATGGCTCATCCACCCGAGAGGCAGAACCGCTTACAGCAGGAGGAGGAGGGTTCCGCAGACCAGGCCGCACCTCAAACCCAAACAACCAACCGCTCGCACGACGGCCGCCGCACCCTGAGCCGGCCCACTCCAGTTAACACGCCATGTTAAACATGCAGAGAAAGGAGAGGAGCACAGCATCATCCTGACACACATCCCCTCCAGACTCCCGAGGGTCGTGGTAGAAGAGTGTGAGTGTTCGTATACGTGTCTGGTGCAGATATGAATTTGTGCAGAAAGCAGTCGAGACCGCCTGTCTGGCTTTTCGGGCAGACGGGGAAGGGAGTTCACGTCGACGTTCAAACGGTGTTGTCTGTAGTGTAACTCTAAGTGAAGCTTTTCCGTGTTTGGGCTGGACAGGAAGGGGAGGACTTGGTGCTGAAGCCGCTTTTCGATTCACGCCAGGTTTTTAACCAATCGAGGGGGATTTGCTAATAACTCGGACGTTCTTAACGGTAAAAAAAAACCATATTGACGGACCCTGAATACACGTCTCTTGCAGTGGGCTACCACTTTTACTAGAAGCTGCTTGTTTTTTTTTTTTTTTTTTTGTTTATCCCACCATCTCTTACATCATGTTATTTTTTTTTGTTGTTGTTTTAAATGTTATGAACCCACTTCACTTACAGCCTGTTAGGTTTTCAACTACGAAGCACTACAGCACGGACAAGACCAGCTGAGACACACTTGGTAGGTATATAATAGCGTATGAACGTAGGGGGGGATGAAAAGGGTGTCATTTACTTTTTTCTTTCTCAGAGTGTCCTGTCGTCGATCATGTGGAGTATACAAATGTATGGTGAAACTAGCCAGTGGTAGGTGCTGTGCCATCTTTTTTTTTTTTTTTTTTTATTATTGTCCAGATGATTCCACGTCTAAACCTGGTCACTCGTTTTAGAATAAAAAATAAATAAATAAATAAAGAAAAAAAGAGCTTGTGGCACTTTTGCTCTTGGTGGAGAAACTGCCCGATCATCATGCCCTTAGGTCCTTGTAATTCTTTTCTTCTTGTTTTAAATGTTTTCTTTTTCATTTCGCAGTTTCCTTGTGGTCCACGACAAAATTGTATTTTTATTAATCTATTTAAATGGCAAGGATGCCGAAAAAAGAAGATATCAAGGTGGCGGCTGCCGCCCCAGTGGTACACCCACATTATTTTATACACATAGATTTTGTTGTGCTTCAAGTAGACCATTTTGTATGGATTCTGTTTCGTTCACCACCCTCCCTCGCCCCGCTTCAATATCAGTGTATAAAAGTCTGTTCTTAAATAATGTTAAAATGTTAGAGGAGAACTGTGGAAATAAAAGTATGTGAAAAGTCTTTCTACACCCGACTGTGGCATCGTCCTTCTGTCTCACTGTTCGTTTCGCTTTCCACTCTGACTTTCTCTTCAGTCATTCCAGTTAATAATGACAGTAAGTGCATTTACATGCACTTAATAATCCGATCATAATCAGATTTCTGCAGTTATCTGATCATTTAAATGGTCGTGTAAACAGCACACTCTGATTTGCGTTTATGGAATTTGGCAGACAATCTTATCCAGAGCAACTTACAGATCATTTTACACAGGTAGGCGAAGGTAGTGTTAGGAGTCTTGCCCAAGGACTCTTATTGGTACAGTGTATAGTGATTTCTTAGATCGGAATAAGGTCTAGAAATCTGATAAAGAGAGCTGAGTTTTAGCTCAGTAGTCCGATTTCTCAGTGCATGTAAACTTTTACTCTGATTTCTTTCGGATTTCTCAGTCTGAGCAGCTGCGAAAACAGACGGCCGTCCCGGAAATAAGCGAGCAGCGTTTCTGTGCGACGCAGCAAAACACTTTTGGAGCGACACTGAAACCGACTACATGCTTGACAAAATGGATTTAAATATTCTTCGTCTTCTAGATGATATTTGTTCATATTTTCAGATGAAGTGGTGCAATGTTTAGCCGCAGCATTAAGTTTGAGTTTTATGTTTACGTTGCGTCGTCTTCTGTGAGTTTATTGGCTTGTGGTAAAGCAGAAATCCGATTACTGTCTGACTCGTGTAGACCCGGAGTTTCCCCATTATCTGATTACTCAAGTACATTACTGACAAAATAAGATTTTCTGCAGATTATTCAAATGGTCATGTAAACAGCATACTCCGATTTCATTTGATAGGAATAAGGTCTAGAAATCTAGAAATTTAGAAAGTCCGATAAAGAGGGTGGATTTTAGCTCAGTAATCAGATTTCTCAGTACATGTAAACTCTTGCTGATTTCTTTCGGATTTCTCAGTCTGCACATGTGTAAACACAGACTGTTGGGCCAGGAATAAGTGAGCAGTGTTACCACGAGACGCAGCAGAATACTTTTGGAGCGACGCTGAAACCAAATGCATACTTGACGAAATGAAGGATTTAAATAATCTTCATCTTCTAGATGATGTAAGTTCATATTTTCAGGTAAAGTGGCCTCAGCATTAAGTTTGAGCATTAAGTTTGAGTTTTACATTACGTTTATGTCGCGTCTTCTGTGAGTTTATTGGCTGTTTGCAAAGAGTGAGTTCCCCCATTATCTGATTACCCAAGTGCATGTAAACTTGATCGGATTACTGACAAACTCTGATGTTCTGCAGTTATCGGATTATTAAATCCATGTGAACACACTCGGTGGTGCCTTTTTGCTCTGATTATTTTCATATTTGTATGTTTTGAACAAAATCTAAACAGGCTGAGCTGCAAATGTGGTCATGTAGCCACCAGATGGCACTAATGTAACAGCAATGTTCTCATAACACAAGTGAGGCGGGCACAGTTTAATAGCTCTTAATTATCCCTTAATTAATGAGCATTTAATAGAATGATTATTAGGAAAGAACTTGTTCACAGTTATTTCATTCAAGTATTTCTTTTAAAGAGAAATGCAAAATGAAAATGGTTCAGATGCAAAACAATTTATTGAGAATCATTGCTTACATGTCATCATCCTCTTGCTTCTGTATCAGTCCATGTGTACAGCCTCATACTTCACATCCCACGGTCTTCAAAACTCTCATAAGAACTGATTTTTTTACATATGAAATGGTTTTATTTCATCCAGACGTTTCAGAAGGAACACAACAACCAGACTTCAAGGTGAAACTCATCCGTTCCTTAAGCCTGTAGCCAGACAGACAGCAAATACAAAGCCTGAATGTCTTTTCATTAAATACACAAAAAGCGGTTGGCTTATTGATCATACTGCTATTCTGGCATGCTTTAGTGCACTAGGATGTGTGAGGAGACGCGACAGGAGATGTCCATCTGCTCTCTGTGCTGCTTCCCTTCCTGCAGGTTGTAGTAAATAGTGCTGATAAGATGTTGTTGAACTTGCTCAGCTGCTTATCTTCGGCTGCGTTTACATTACAGCAATGCAAATCACTTCCCTCTAATCGCTGGCTGCTTTGGGGGAGATGAAATGAAAGCAGGTTTAAAGAAGCAGTAGTGTATGCGAAGGTGTGGGCTACTTCTGAGCTGCAAAGAAGCTGACAACAGGCCAAAAATAATTCTTAAAAATGAAAAAATTCAAATAATGCTAAGGATAATAATAATAATCTCCCCTTGGATGTTTAAGATATATTAATCTCCGTGTTTGTCATTATCTCCTGTTAGTTTCTCCATGTTCTCTGCACTGATTTCAATGTTTTTGACTGTGCAACATGATGAAATGCACCTCTCTATGTAATATCATTGGCTGGCGAAATTAGCTTCTCATTTGCATAAAGTTCAGCAATTTATTTCCACTCTCTATGCTTACTCTTCCACTGCTACTCCCACAATGCCTTTGCACAGCACTGCTGCCTGTCTCCTTAGAAAATGAATGGAAAACAAAAAAAAAGAGGAAAAGCTTTTCGCTCCACTTTAATATAAATGCAGGAGTGCAGTGTGGCTGGAGTAGCATGAACAGCAGGATATAGGAATGAACTCTCTTCAAACTAGATGGAGCTGAAGAACTGTAGCCTGGAGAGGCAGCGTTTGCACGGAGTTCTTTAACAACAAGCAGGCGGGTGTGTTTCGTGTCTCTGCAGGCGGTTTTCGTTGAGCTGCTATGTACAGCGAGGAAGAAGAGTGGCAAGACGTTGAGAGACGTCACAAGGTGCTGGCAGATGTCCTTGCCCTGCTTTTGTGGATAGCTGTGTACGGTGTGTGGGGTTCGTGATAGAGGTTTGTGTGCTGTGGCGCTGCAGGTGATTGTTTGGTCCAGCAGGGGGCAGTTGTGCGGTTCTGGTCTTTAGCAAGAGTCCAGGGCCAGGCATATCTGCTCAAACACCTCGTCAGGGGGCTGTTCGGCATCAATCTGCACGCACACACAGAAACGTAAGGATGTTTGCATTCTGACATCGAAAAGTAGGGCAGAGAGACGCGTCACGCAGCGCTAATTAATCTTAAAAATACAGATCCTTTCTGCGAGGATGAGGGGGAAAAGCGTCTGGGGAGAACAGATTATTAGCTGTGGGTGAAAACTTGTACAGCTACACTGTTAAGTACACCGTTGAGAAAAGGGAATTACTGTTTTTCTTCCGACTCAGTAAAAAGAGAATTCCCTTTAACTTATCTCTGGATTTTCAACACGTTTCTCCTGGAGACCCTTCCAGAAATAACTGTACCTTCTAGTACTGCTGTTCTGACGGTTGTTGGATGAAAAGAAAGTGATAATTGCAGTTATGCATTTTAGACTCTGTTTAAGTGGTAGGAGGTACGAGGAAGTCTTGTAAAAATGAAAAGTAAGAGTTTCTGTCCAAAGAAAAACAAGCATCACAGCAGAAGGCAAAAATGTTCTTTACTTTCAATGGAAGTTGATGTGAAGAGATTTTACTCCAAGCATATTTGGAGCATTTCTGGAACATTCATCATGAAATTCAATTCACACAATGTAAAGAGCAGCTGCTGCACTGAAAATACGTAGAAAAGTATTGAAAAAAAATGGAGATGCATGTTTTTCTTTGGACAGCGATGATATATAATAAGTTTGTTCTCTTACTGGGTGAGTGAGTGAGGGTAGGATATCTGTCAGCCCAATCAAACGTCCTCACGGACCAACTTTGTCCCACGGGCCACATATTTGGCAGCTTTAACCTAGAAAGTCATTTTTCCAGCCTTTTTTTTTGGCTAGACTGACCAACATATTTTGAAAAACCTACAAGTTTAATTATCTGATCTTACATGACATTTGAGATAGAAGTCACAGATATTTTGAAACTGACCCAAATGCTGATAAATTATTAGCTACAGCAAAAATGTACAGCCTAACTAAATAAAAACAGGTCAGTTATCTGCTTTGAATGCTTCTTTCAGCTGAGTTGTCTTTGCTCTCCAGACTGTAGCAAGACCCGTTCACTGTTGTCTGAATAGCAAGTATATAACATGCTTCCCCCTCAAATGCATTCTTTTGTGATTACTGTTCAGAGACTGGATAAGCTTTACTGAACGCTGGTAGAAAAAAAAAAACATTGAACTTAAGAATTTCTAGCGTACATTGTGTTTGTAGTCTAAGGGGTGTTCAGATGCGCTGTGTTTTAAACCGCAGCGCATCGTGTTCCGTCTCGTGCTTGAAAAAAAAAGCAGGGCAGGTTAATGCATTTGATTAAGTAAATATGAAACAGTGATTTGAGAGAACACAAAACAATCAACCATTTCAAAACTGACATATACACTAAATAGACAAAAGTATTGGGACACACATCCAAAACATTGTTCTGGTGTTTCAGCCACACCCATTGCTAATAGGTGCATAAAATTAAAAAGCACGCCGCCACTCCGGAGCAGTGGAAACGTATTCTGTGGAGTGATGAATCAGCTTCGCTGTCTGTCAGTCTGATGGACAAGTCTGGGTTTGGCGAATGCCAGGAGAACGTTACCTGCCTGACTGCACTGTGCCAGCTGTAAGGTTTGGTGGAGGAGGGATGATGCTATGGGTTGTTTTTCAGGGGTTGGCCTAGAACCCTTAGTTCCAGTGAAGGGAAATCTTAATGCTTCAGAACCAAGACATTCTGGACAATTCTGTGCTTCTAACTTTGTGGGAACAGTTTGGTGAAGAACCTTCCCTGTTCCAGCATGACTGAGCCTCAGTGCACAAAGCAGCTCCATAAAGTCATGACTGGGTGAGTTTGGTGTGGAAGAACTTGACTGGCCCTCACAGAGCCCTGACCTCAACCCCATCAAACACTTTGTGATTAACTAGAACAGAGATTGTGAGCCAGGCCCTCTCGTCCAACATCAGTGTCTGACAAATGCTCTTCTGGATGAACGGGCAAAAATTCCCACAGACACACAAAATCTTGTAGAAAGCTTCCCAGAAGCTGTTAAAGCTGCAAAGAGGGAGCCAACTCCATATTAATGCCTATGGATTTAGAATGGGGTGTCATAAAAGCTCTTGTAGGTGTAATGTGTGGGTGTCCCAATACTTTTGTCCATATAGTGTATATTAATACAGAAAACTCTTATAATGTGTAGTGTGTAGAGTGTTGTACAGCTCTGCATGTTTGAAAACATCCCAAGCCAGCTTTTCCTTCCTGCTGGATGACTGAGTAGAAAGAAGGCATTCTCAGTATTGACTGGCCAGCTATGGATGTCGTATGGTGCTATATGGGTGCTCAGCACAAAAGTTGATGGGTTTTTCTACTTAAATGTGTAGCCTAAAAACATAAAGCGTGTTGCACAGGGTAGAAGAGTGTTTTTCAGTTGTAGCTCTAGTGCGTGTCGTTCCAGAACAATGAAAAAAGTGCATTTGATCGAGTTTAAAAAGCCGTTGTCTGAACGTCCTATTTGAGCTACATGTAACCTACACACTAGAGTAAAAAGATGCATTATGCCGCTGATTTAGCCAGCAGGTAACGTTAAAACAGCTGAAGTAGGTGAACGTCCTGCTTAGCCAGTCAATTAGATGTTTATCTTCTTAAAATTATGATCTAACATTGTGACCTTTCACACAAATACAAAACGATTTGAAATTAATAACGCACATCTTAAATGTAGCTAATTTCACAAAAACTTTGTGTGGACTACAACTGAATAAGACTTTTATTGCACCATGTAAAGCTTAGCAACAGTTGCTATGAAAGAATGCATTTGTGGGCGGAGCCAGTTGATGTGGGCCATTAGTTCACAGTACCCACCCTGCGCAGGACGCCTGTGTGTTCGTAGTGGTTGATGACGGGGGTGACGCTGCTGCAGAAGCTGTCGACCCGGCGGCGGGCGTCCCTGTCCCGGGCCTCTCTCGAACGCAGGCTGGAGCAGGTCCTCTGCTGAAGACGGTGGCTCATGATGTCTGCAGAGCACTCCAACAGCAAAACCACGCTCGGCTGCCCCATCTGACACACACACACACACATGCGTGATCCAACAACCCTCAGAGAGCTGCAGTTAACAGGGTCTGAGGGGATGCAGGTGGCATGAATGGTAAAGCTGTACAGGTTGTACAAAATCACACTGCTAGGCTGTTCTAACGTCTGCTAATGCTCTGATTTATAGATCAGGGGTGTCGAACTCAACCATTAAAAGGGCCAAATTAAAAAATCAACAAAAAAATATTTTAAATGTTATTTTTACTTAACATTTTGCCATGACCCCAACTGCCCAATGTTTATTGAAAATAAGACAAAAATGCAACAGCAATTAGGCATTGGGTTCTTAAACTATTAAAAAATAGTTTTAAATAAAATAAATAATTTATTACAAACCAATAGGCTACATTAGCTGCAGATAACTGTTAAAGCTCTTTGAAAGTCCTCAGGAGGTAGGTTTTTAAACACTGCCTATTTGCTTGAACTAGACCTGACATCTTTTCTTTTTGTGTAGCTGCTGTCCCATAGATTGTCAGGGAGGGGTTGGAGCGCACATTATATTGCAGTGCATGCTGGGGACTGTTGTGCAGCTCAGTGTGAAACAGCCTAATAATAATAGAAAATTAAAATAATTCTGCCACAGGCCTGATTTGGCCCACAGGCCTTGTGTTTGACACATGGGATATAGATCTTATAAACAGTAATTAACTCAGAACCAAGTGTGATAAAATGTGATGGATCTATAAGGGATGTTCAAAACCAGAGGTGGGTAGAGTAGCCTAAATTCAGTGTTGTTACTTCTGTGAAATAATGCCTATGAATATATTATATAATACAAATAGTGCCTTTTCAAACAACTTCAGTAGAAATAGAAAAGTAGCTGTTCAAAAAACTATTGAGCGTTCCAGCCGTAAACTAGCATTTAATGTTATTTTTACTAACAGAATTGACTTTTTTTTGTATTTGTCAGTGTTCTCTTACTACAATACCCAGTATGCATTTCACAGTTGCACCATACAACCATTAGGTGATGTGGTAGGCTAATAAATACAGATATAATATCTGGCTTCCTGTTGCCACCTCAGGTCTGTCAGGACTGTTTCTGTTGGCTTATTCATTAAATGTTCCCACAGTGTAAACATAAGCTGACACTTTCAAATGATGTTAAAAAAAGTTGATATTTGATAGGCGGTTCAGAGAGGTAATAAATGCCTTCCTTTCCTCCACTGCTGAACAATAAGGGGCAGCGCTGGTGCCTGATACGATTAGACCGTGTCTGCTTAACGCTGAGCTTCTGACGTCATGCGGCTGGACCGTGTGTTACATGCTACAAGGAAGATGGTTGTCCTTGACTGTGATGGGTTTTTGGCACGTAGCATTCCTCTCTCTCAGACACTGACCTTAGCCTCGTACTCCTCTGCCTGCCTCAGGTCCCGTGGGAATCCGCTGACCAGGAAGCCTTTCCCGTGTCGCACTGTAGACTCCATAGACTCACACAGAAGGTCCAACAGTGTGTCCTACACACACAAACACACAGCACATATTAACAGTAAATGGTGACGGGGGGAAAATAAGAGCACACAAATACAGGATGGGAGATAAATGTGAAATGATTCTAATATATTAGTCCTGTGGGACACAAGTCTATAATGAAAAATACATAGAAGCTGCACAAAAGTTAATAAATAAAAAGTAAGTAAATAAATTGCTGAAGTTCTTGCTATTCAGCGGCCTTAGCGTTCCTGCATGATTCGTTTTTTTAGCACCACAAGGCTTAACAAAGTGCCAACAGCTGGAAGTTGTGCCTATATATTACAAGCTCACGTTAGAAACAGTTTAAATCCTTATTTTTCTCAACTGTTATTAGCAATGGCTACATAGCAATAGCAGGATGTTCAAAGCTTCTTACAGCTTGTGTGTGCAAGTTTCCCAGAATATGTGTACCGTAATAACCCAGAATGATGAACAGAGCTGTAGATAAATCTGAAATAACTGCAAAAAAGTTACAGTAACATTAATATTCATAAAGTATTTCAATCACACCTTCCTGGAAGAACATTATACAGCAGTTAGTTTGGCACAATCTGATTTGAAAAGTTTTTTTTTAATGTGTGCAAATAAAAAGATGGACTACATCCAGTTCTGAGTCTGTCGTTTCACCTAATCAAGTTTTTTTGCAGCTATGATGACGACGGCATCTGAAATTAGTCAAAAACTAACAATTCAATTGAGTAAACAAGATGGTCTAAGAATTTAATACAATATTTATATATATAATATTTGATTAGATACAATATTCAGGGCTTCTTTGCTTTACTTGTTTCTCTGTTTTTCTAACTGTTGTATGATGATCTACTGTACTCGCCTTCAGCATCGTGCCTGCGACCAAATCACAGCTGTGGTGTTTTTTGTGATAACACACTCCCTCTTATGTTATATTGCTTAATTAAAAGATTGTTTAACTTATTTTGAGACATTTTAAGTAATTTTATTTCTAGGAGCATACAAACCTATCTGCCAATAGAATAATAAACTCTAGATACAATTACTTAAAACAAGTAACAAACTTTGAGAAATAAGAAAAAAAAATATTAGATGTGTTGACTAGATTTAAAATGTTTTCACTAACCAATATATATTTTTGGCAGAGAATTTGACAAAAAAATAAGATAAACAGATAATTAGAGTATGATCTTTATCCTTTAATAACTTCACTTCTGTTGTCTAGCTTAGAGTATTTAAATCTGCACTGTATAAGTTGTTACTAAACTGTAAAAAAAAGATCTTGTAAAGTGAAAACTACATTATCTTCTAAGAATATATAATATATAAGAACAGATGTTTGCTACTTGTATGTCATTTTATCAAACAATTTTGCATAATGCAGATAATTTTGCCTGTTTGAAACAAATGAAACTCTGCTAAAAGATTAAGACAATTTATCTCAGTGACTTAAAACAAGTGCAAATGCCTAGAAATAAGTTAAATCGTCCCAGAACATTCCAAAACTGAAGTATTAGACATACTGATTCACTTAAGTTTTCACAGCCAAGATAGCACTTTTTGTAGGGCGTGTATAAAATAACAAAGATTATTAATGTGAAAAGTGATTCAAACTTTTTGAAGGGTAGTGTTAAACCTGCGTTACTGCGGTTAACCGTATTTGCTTACCTGTATACAAAGCATATATTTACATGTTAAATGATGACGGCAAAGAGTTTCATACAAACATGCTTTCTTAAACAAACACACTGCACACACAGTGCAGGTCAACAGGGAAGAAGAAGAGCTGAGTAGATGCGCGTGCACACGTTTACCCAGTGTTCATGCATGTTAATCATGACAAACACATTTGCTTACGCATAAACAATACACACACACAAAGTCAGACGGCTGGCATGCAGGAAAGTACTTCACAGCAAATGTTAATGATGCCTGCGTTGCTAGGCAACTCCACTGTAACATAAACCATCTGATAGCTCCGAATCTGAGTCACTGAGCCGCACACCAAACCCTCAGAGCAAAGAAAACCTCTGACCAGAGGGTTCAGGTCTGATCCCTGAGACAACACGCCGACTGCATGGACTCCTAAGCTGAGAAGCACATGAGCCTCACTGAAGTCCCTGCTGTTCAACAGCACTAATGTTTGTCGTAGCGTTCCTGTATGATTTGGTGTTTTTAACACCACAAGGCTTAACAAAGTGCCAACAGCTGGAAACTCAAAATTAAAATCCTAGTTTTTACTTCTAACTGTTATGATATATGGCTATTTAGCAATGGCAGTGTGTTCAAAAGTAATTTTAGGGACTATTTACTACTTGTGTGTTTATGTTTCCCAGTGGGCCCTGATAACAAAATCAGAGTTTTCTGAATGCACTGTAGACCTGCCCTACCATTCAAAAGTTTGAAATCACTTGTTATATCACTGTTATTTCACATACAATAATAACTAACAATAGAATGTGGATGTAAAATTTATAAACTAGACATCAAAAGGGTACTTTAGATGTTTTAGTCAATATTTCTTTATTTTGAGTTAGTATATATTGCAAATGTGTTGCTGGAGCCTATCCCAGGGGTCATCGGGTGGAAGGCAGGAAACACCCTGGACAGGTCACCAGTCCATCACAGGGCAGACAGACAAACACATTCACACACACAATCACACCTAGGGGCAATTTAGCATCTCCAATTGGCCTGACTGCATGTCTTTGGACCATGAGAGGAAACCGGAGCACCTGGAGAAAACCCAAAGAGACACGGGGAGAACAGGCACACCGAGAGGACCTTGGTCGCCCGTCCGGGGAATCAAACCCAGACCCTTCTTGTTGTGAGGCGACACCAAATATAACCATATATCCTATTTATAGCATAATACTAGCATGTTACATCGCATGTTGCAGCTTATCACTGCTTTGACCTAACTTGTGTCAAACTGTAAATCAAGCCATTAAGAAGATATCATACATATTATTTTAACACTGTGCTTACATTCCAGTAAAGCTGTCTTTTTTATAAATATTACTGCTGCATTCTGAGCAGTAGTTTGAATTTCATGCGTACTGGACGACTCTCCAAACACTGTCAGTTACACCAGCTGTGTGGTCATCTGAGCCAAGAACGGAACAAAAGAGCTTTACACATACTGCTGGATTTTGTGCAGACTCTTTCTTTGTGGAGGATCTTTCTAAAGCAGCTTTGTGCCAGGGTTCATACATCTTTTCCAAGGTCCAATTCAAGCACTATTTAAGCACTTTCCAGGTCAATTTTCACACTTTTCCAGCACCTTACAGCTGTAGTAAATTACATATTTATACAAATACATACATGCTCAAAATAATTCATTCACTTTTTATCTCATTAAAAGAGATGGTATTATGCTATAAACAACCTGAATTGTGTTTGGTAATAGCAGAAGGATAAGAATTAAAGCAAAACACATATGCTTTATGTTTCAAAATGTGTCACCTGTTTGTAAGTAGACTTTCCTTGCTATCTAACCTCGCTGAGTCAGGATAAAACAATTACCCAAAAAATCACTCAACAAATAACTTTAATTTGAATAAATTCTTTACTAATAATGTCAAAAATAACAACATTCACCTTTGAGGTAGGCAGTCAATCAGCTCTATAACCTTTTCCACAGTATTGTGCAAATCAAAACAATAGAAATAGAGCTAGTTACAACTTGAAACCAGACTGGCAGATCGCAGTCATACACTAGCAAGTGGTGTATGGGTTGCAAACAAGCTCTTTGAGCAGGTCTTTTAAGTCAGAGGTCGACAACTCAAATGTTAAGAGCCACTTTGTCCTTTCAACAAAAATCAAACCACCTTGTGAGTCACAATATTTCATGTACATTTTGCCATCTTGGCTGTAAATATGACTCAGTATGTGCTGATGTGGTAGTATAAGCTAAAACATACATAACAGAAAACGTAGACTTCCTTTGCTTTAAGCCTTAGCTCAGCTATAGCCGCGCTTCTCGCATCTTTGGCAGGAAACTTTTCATCAAAAGCCGAACAGTTTCTTGTAAAATGCCTCTTAACGTTCGACTTTTTACAAAGTTGAATTCAGCTTCTTATTCACAGCTTCTTGGATGAATTGTTTTTGTTCCACCTTAAATGGTGCACCATTTAAGGTGGAATGGTACAATTCTAACAAGAATCTGACATCAGCTTCGCAACCTTTTACTGTTTCTCGTTGCAGATTAAACGTATCAGGAAACCAGCTGGAGTGGTTATAAATGCAATAATTCCATTTGTCTCTAAATTATCGATGTTTGTCTTAAATGTTTCTCTTTGCCTTTTCATTAGCTACTCACTAGGTGAGACTTGTGTGTGTTGCTATGGTGACCAGTAGTCTGGCCGCCAACCTTCAGGGTTAAAGGGTGAATTAGCAGTTCTACATTAACTCCAGTGTTTAAGACCATTTATTGTTAAACTGTGTTGAACGATCAGCAGAGCTTTATTTTACTGTAAAGGAGGATTATTTTATTTTTACCTAAAGATCTAATTCTGCTGTGGAGCCACAAAAGGGCAGTAAAAGAGCCGCATGTTGCCAACCCGTTTTAAATGAACAATGGGAGCCGGCTTCTGTCCAAGAGCCATTTGTGTTTCTTTCTTTCTTTCTTTTTTGAAACTTAATATAAGGGAGAATGTTAGGGTGATCCTCTCCGCAGTGGTATAATGAAGAGCCGTTTGGGAGCCAAAAGAGCCGGCACTTCTGGGTGAGCCGAGCCAAATGATCTTGGTTCACCAAAAAGAGCCGAAATTCCCATCACTATCACACACACAGATGCGCAAGCGAGCCCAGGCAGAGCCATTTTAAACTTTGGCTGGAACTTTTTTATTTTATTTCTCCATCTAATAACCAAACTATTCAGTCAGAAAGCTATTTGTTGTGAAAGAACTACAGTTACAATTTCAAGCATTTTCAAACACTTTATGCAAAATTCCAGCACTTTTCAAACCTGGAAAATACAGCATTAAAATTCAAGCATTTTCAAGGATTTCAAGCACCTGTACGAACCCTGTAGTGCAGACTTGCTTTGAGGAGTTTTTCTAGCAGTTTAGGTCTCCAGCCTCTAATCAGATCTCCATTCTGTATCGCCTTTGGCTTTATGGGTGTGCAAACATGGAGTTTCTCACTTTATTAAGACGATATAATGCTAAAAGTGAAAGACAGTGTTCTGGAATGCTGTTATGCTCCCATGTTACATAAGTGTCAAATGGATGGAGAATAGATAATTGTTCTTTTTTTGATAATAGAATTTAATTAGTGTCCTAACCTGAGGAAGCTGTTCTCCCCTCTCGAGGACGTCTCTGAGGAATCGTCCTCTCTCGCTGTGGGACTGCAACTCACTGCACAGGATGTCTCCGGGACACAGGCGCCTCAACCCGTACTGCTCCTCAATCTTCTCGCATTGCAGAGCTTTCCCTGAGCCGGGACCACCTGACACACACACACACACACACACACACACACACACACAATCATCATCAATGTCATCATAAGCATCATTAGCAGTCAACTGACACTTTAGCCAGTATAAGATGGATATTGTGATTATGTATACATACAATATATATTTGATATAATCTATAATTTATTATAATTTAATATAATTTCAAAACCTCGTATCTCCGAAAAGGTAACTTTACAGGAAAAATTTTCTAAATTTTAATGGAAGTAAATAGAGAAATATTAAATATATAAAAGTAATTCTGGAGCATTTCTGTTGGTCCTTTTATCATGAAATTTTGACACAACATAAATGGCGAGTGGTACAAGGTTTTGTCCTGACAGCAGCGATATAACATAGCCAATTCTCCCTCAAATGATCTAAAATGTTAACAAAATGTGTAAAAACTAACCAATATTAATTTTTAATGTTTTTTTTCAGGTTGAAGAATGGTGTTCATTAGAAATTAAAAGGCATTTTGTGTGTTAGAATATGCTCGAACACAGTCAAACAAAAGTGTGCTGCATGAAAATTCTATAAAAATGTACCAACTGGAAAGCAGATTTGGACATGGCACAAAAAATTCAAAGAGGAAGGCTGTCTGTGCAGGACAAAGAGATCTGGACGACTACCAATATCGGAAGATATTACATTTGTGAAGCTGTGAAATCGGTTATAAAATCTACATCCCTCTGAATTTCTTGTTCGAATTTTGAAAAATAAATCTTGTATTGTTCAACATGAAGCCTATTTAATTTTGTTTGTCCAGGACATGTAGTTACTTAGATATTGACATCTCACATGATGTAATTTTTTGGGACACCCTGTGTGTGTGTATATATATATATATATATATATATGCTTACATTTTTAGCATATGCACTGGCCAACCAGGACTCCCATATTAGTGACTGCCCTTCATTTCTAACAGGCTTTTGAAATAGAAAGTACTGGTGTGTTGACCACCCCCTTGTGGCTTCTGCCATGTCAGTCAGCGGCTAATCTTTTATCTACATTTCCATGTTTATTTTCGATTACAGTAACATTTAACGTGCTAATACTTAATGTGTTACCATTTGAAATGCTAGCTCCTTAGCAAACTTCGCCAGCCTTGATTTGAAGCTGTTCTTGGGAAGTTTTCGATGAAGGTCTGGTATTTGTAGGTGTCTATCAAAACCGGGTTCATTAACCTGTTGAGGTCTAAGCTCTAAATTTTTGCAACTAATTTTTACATTAAATATAAACTCCCATTAGTAACCATAGATTTTTACATATATTTGTTTTCAGCACAGACAGGACTATGTGAATCTTGTAGAATCAAGTGTGTCAAGTAATTTCACAAAAAGATAAAGGTATATTATTGATTTCAATCAGTGGAAAATTAAACTATACACTTTTGCATCATGAAATGGTTTCCCCAAGGCGATTTCATGGCTCAACTAGGGACATTTCATACCACACAGAAAAGAAAAAGCTCCTCAGAACCTGATGCATATGAGCACAGCGCTATCCAAATAATAACTATTCACATGCCATTGCAGTATTGCATTATGCTACATAACACTCAATGAGTGCTATGAAGATCCACAAACAATCTGGATGGACCAGGAGATGAAGATTAGACCCATCCGTACATTTTCATGTTTTTGTTGACACGTATAACGTTGTTATGAATGACTAATAACAAATAACTGAATCACAAGCCACTTGATTTGTCTAGACAGCTTCTTTTGTAGCTGCTGCTCACTCATTGCCGCTTTCGTGTTGTTTGAAAGGCAATTAAATAACATTACAAACTATCCACAAAGTGCTTTTTATAACTAAAATAAAACAACAAAAATATATGCAAATCTATGAAAGCTGAGAGTACATTTTTCAGATCTCCATGCCAAAAACAAAATATAAAGCAAGTCTATACAACAAGAGGTCCCAAAGTTATTAAACAATATCTGAGCTATGGTTTTTCATTGACTCATTCAATGTCATTTTCAGAGGATTAATGTGAACTAGCCAGCTAATACAATGTAATGTTAGCAACTTTAAACTCATATTAACTCAAATAGTTTATGATTCTAGAGAGCAGGAGTTCCTGAATTTGCTAGTTGATTAGTTGACCACTAATCATCATCAAACAAGCTTTTTCCACAGCAGATGTTACAGGAAACGAAAAACATCCATTATAAGTGAAAAGATAGAGATGGAGAGGCTGCATTAGAAACTGAACTGTGCACTAAGGAGCAGAGCTTATTTAATAGAAGCACTAGGGGGTATGTTATTGCTGACCCCGTCACTTACACCTTTACATTATCTATACAAACCTCGTTGGTCCAGAGATTCACCCTTCCTCTGACTTCCCATCATTACCATTCTCTACACGAGTAAAAACCAGCCTTATCTGTTCATGCAGGACGCAGCCAGACCTCCTCATGGCGAAGGCATCTCCGCAGGAAAACAGATATACTCCATTACATTAATCACTTGCCCAGGAAAGCCTACTTTTGAAGAGTGCTTTTAAAATGCCTAATGTTCTCTCCTGAAAATCTGAGGCTAGTGCAATGGTTGAATGGCTGTACTTGAAAATTAAACGTTCAAGAAACTGGTTTGGTTTCTATGCTCAACGTATGAATGATTCATACTGAATTTACAACTACATAAGAATGACTGGCCCATAATAGCTCAGTTTGATTCCCCAGTGGACAAATATTTGTTTACAACATTTAGCAGACACTCCTTTACAGAGCAACTTACAGTTGTAATCATGTTACAGAGGTAGATGAATGTAGCTTTAGGAGTCTTTCCCAAGAACTCTTATTGGTATGATGTGGCCCTTACACAGGCAGGAAACCCCAGTCTGCCATGTGGAAGGGAGCACTACATCATACCAACCACTTCAAGATGGCACTTAGATAAACAGAGTATGCACTTTTGGCCGCACAGTGTCAGAAACCAAATAATCTAATTGAAACCAAATAGTCTAGTTGAGATTACTTAACACCTCAACACGGTTTGAGGCAACTGTGTGATGGCAAAGGCATGCGGCTTGCATGATACTAATCGGTGTACATAAGCTTCTATTACTTATTAGCAAACCTCCGAGGCCAGTTGTGTCTTGGCAGATATGCTACACTCTGGGGTAAGTGGAGAGTTGTGTAAATTATTTTGAACTATTCCTTGAACATCATATACAGCTGTCAATCTCCATCAGCACAATATTTAGCATTCTCCTTCTGTCAGTAGGTTTCTCCTCAAGTCAGAATAACACTGTCTCTAAAGAATGCCCAGCGGCTTTGAAACAAAAGCTGAACCAACTCACAGTAACAGGAATGGCAATTAGGATGGAGGGAGGCATGGAGGAATGACACAGTACCCTCTCATTTAAGAACAGTGGAAGTGTGGGTTCAGAAAAAGCCTTGGGCTAAAGAGTGTATTGATTGCACATAACAAAGAAAGTAATATATTGCAAACATAACAGATTATATTCTATTAATTAACAGCTATTTCTTTTTCGTATGGGTCAATTATGGTGTGTCAGTGTTGATGGCAGCATTTAAAGCAGAATACATGTCCTCTCATAAGAAAACCTATAACACTCCAGCTTAAGTGAAGTGCTTTCTTCCGGCTGCGGTTGGCAAGATTGTCTCAAGCTGAAGATGTTCTAAAGCAGAATGTAGGTGTTAAAGACAGAAAACATCAAAACAGATGTAACTCACATCTCTTGAAGATAACCTCAAAACAAGCTGAAGTGAGAGTGTATGTGTGTGTGGCTCCATTCAACTGGGACCAATCATGTGAGGATGAAAATGTCTTAGATGTGTTTTAATTTGGGCAGCTGTGTCTTTAGAAGCATAAGATGCCGATGCTATCTGTTATTACAGGCCTAAGACGAAAACACTGACATTTAATTTCACTTTCCTTCATTGGCAGATGCAGCTTAATGAAAGCAATCTATTGTACCAAGAAGATACAGTTTGTAGCTGGGAAAGATGCCAAAAATTGATTGAAAAAGTAATAAATTTCACTGGTCATGGAGGATGGAAGACTACCCTTTTCACCCAGAGAGAGCAAACCTAATCATGATCTCTTGGACTCCAGGCCACAAACTCGCAATCTCCCAAAAACAGGGTCAATCCTTAGACTTTTGTGCCAAGTAGAAGCCCCTAAACTAGTTATATTTAATGAGAAGTTCATTTTGGTTGTCCAAACAGTTTTTTTTAACTGTCCATATAAATTATTCAGAGGTCTGAATCAATGATGCATTCACAAGTCAACTTTATCATCTCCATATGCAATAAGATTCCGTCAGAGCCAATTTACAGCGAGCATGCCCATCTCCTATTCATCTCGTTATTATGCCACGTACATTGTATTGGTATTATATTGGTATAATATCATATACTGAAGCTAAACTGAAACTAAACGTGACTGCAGAGCACCAGAGGGAGGAGGCTGTCAACATACCTGCAATAGCGACAAAGTGAAATACAGTATAAATTGCCTGAACTTCATATGCAGATGGTGCAAACTTCACAGAGACTATTAATGTAATTACTCAAGTGCAGAGCAGTACAGACTCAAGGTTGAAATTAATAAAGTTATTAAGTTATGAGCATTATAAGGTATAAGCATTACTGCTTTAGCTACCATGACAACGTTGTAGAGAGTCTTGTGGGAGGGTTGATAAACAAAAAGGGGGAAGGTTAAGGCCAAACAAAAGAAACAGCAGAGCAGCGTCTTTAAACTAAAAGGAGTTTCAGGAAACTAAAGAGTAAAGCAGTCACCAAAAGGGCACTCAAAGTTTTTTGTTTTGTTTTGTTTTTTTATGCTTACTCTGAAAGACACTCAAGTAACCACTCCGAGACTTGAGAGAGGAACGAATACCGAAATTACCCGCTTAGTCTGAGTTGTGCATGTGGCACTATGAACTCAAGACTGAGCAGAAAGCAGCGTGTGAGCACCCCTGAAGTAGGGTGCCCACAGCTGTTACCGCTCAGCCCTAATTATCACTTAGTGGTGCCTTGTCTCCCGCTAGTGGCTGGAGGTGGCCTAGCACGAGGCCGGGACATTACAAATACCTAACAGTTAAGGTTTATTTTATTCAAAGGCTTATTATTCAATAACTACAGGGACTTCAATACAACCTAATAGAGCTATTAGGTTATAGAAGTGTGTAGTAAAACTTTGGGCCTGCCGGTGAGCTCATGGCTTGTTAAGGAGTTAACAAGCCCTGAAATGTGCAGATACTCCACGGCCGAAGTTCGGAACCTGTATCGGGTGGCTTTAAAAGTCTCCACAGGGACATCTTTTGACCTTATTTGGAGCTTCAATTTCTAAATACATTCCCAGCTGGTGAGCTAAAAGAACTGAAAGCTTGACTGAGGTAATGATCGACAGCAAAGGTGGCTAATCAGTGGTTGGAGGGCTAAGAAAACAAGGTGGGGGTCGCAACTGGTCATTGGTCATCGCAGAGGTGATTATGCATTTATAACAAAAGAAGCAGAGGTGACTTATGGGCCCCTCAAATGTGGAAACACAAGTGTGGTAAGGATTGAAAGAATATGCTAAAATCTGCACATTTCTCCAATTCTTTCAATAAGATGAGGCTGAGAAATAATTTGTATAAAATTGAAACATACTTTGTTATAGCCAGCAATAACTTCAGTATGGGCTTTAACCGTCTGGACTTTTTTAGCCATAATAAAAAAGCTATTTTTATCTGGTTTTGTCCAGACAGAATTCAATAAATCCAACCATTGTCTTGTTCCCAAAGGAGTTGCTGAGGCCAGCAGTGATGGCCAGTGTAGCCCGTTCCATTCTGACAGGTACCTGAGTGCTGTTGGAGAGATGATTTATCTGCTCACCCAGCCTCTACCTTTTCAATTACTGCAATAACTCACACCATAGCATGTTACTGTCTTCTACAGTGCTTACATTCAGCTATTATTTCGCCAACTGTGTGACACTACAGCCTCTCGGTATACGGTCACCGTGTTAAAGCCGGACCTCCTCCTTCATTAACCTTTATCACTGACACCCAATTAGCGGATGATGGGGATGCTGGGCAGCAGTTAGTGGAAAAGCCAGCTAATTGTTTTTTCCCCTTTATCCCCTTTTCTTTTCTCCGAGACATGCAGTGTGGCTTTTTACTTTTATTTCTTAATTGACCTGTAAGAAAAAAAACCCTACAATAGGGGAATGTTAAAACAGATCATGCAAAAATAAAACCCATTTACAGTGGAATGAAGTGTATCTTTCAGGCATCTCAGAACATCACACCTTTACCCAAGTTGAAAAAACCCTGCTAATCATATGTTCTGGGAGTGTACTGTCTTGAATGCAGAATCGCAGTGATAATGATAAATAGCATCTCTTAGGAGAAGGGGAAAATAAGATTACAAGCCAGTAGGTGGTTTTAATGGCTCCAGCACTGAACATACCAATCACGAAGATGACCTTTGGTTTCTTCTTCTCCACGGGAAAACCTGGAAGAGAGAGACGGCATATCAAAACTGAGTAGCGCAAATTGGCAAACCGTGCTAGGTGTACCAATTAATATGCAGATGCCAAATGGTTCTTCCTACAGAAGCTCAGAGATTTATTATTTATTATCTCCTGCTTGATACCTCAGGGATGGCATAAAGAACAACGCTGATGTGGCCTAGACAAAAATAAATGTCCCATCCTTGCAGGGCAGTAAATAAACTGAACACCCTGCCCCCTGTCTGATCGATCAAGACTGGAGGAATGACTGCTGTGTCATTGGGTTTAGAAAGAGAACTGCTTATCCGTGCTTTCGACCGACTTGTGCCATTCACAGACAGAGGGTTATTTTTGGATTCCAATTTGAGGCAGTGCTAATGTCTGTTACAGAGTAACAAATGACTGCAGTGTCTGACTTTCTTTGACCTCGCACTCATTTTGCTAGATTCAAATTTCTACGTCTTTTCCACATGAATAAAATGTTACATCAACATAATCTTTGCCAAATGTAAAAAACTGCAGCTGATGTAATATGTTTTATTCATGTGAAAACTGTGAAACTGAATCAAGTGAATTTGATGCATTTTTGTTCAGGGTACACAGACAGAATAATCAATACAGCTCCACTGGACTCACTTTCTTCACTCTGCTCTGTGTATCCCAGCTCTTCCTCAGCAGCCTGTTCATGTGAGAAACAGCAGAGAGAAAAGTTCAGCTCAGTTTTAAGGAATTTCAGTCTAACATGGCTAACACATACTCTCACAGCGACATTCGACATGTTCAAGACACTGAGCTGATGGATTTCAGTGCCATCCTGAGTTTAAAACACACTATACGGCCGGATCTGCTGTGCTGAATGGGCTCCTGCAGAGTTAAACACACTGCAGCTCTGCTGGAGTAACTTGGTGACAATGAATGTGAAAGTGGTAATTTTACTGTTGAACTTCTCCACAGGATGCATACAGGTACGCATCACCTAAAATGAGAAATTTGTGTTCCATCCAAAATTTATTTTAACCCTTAGAAGTCTAGAGGTATTAAATGTAAGTAAATCTAAATAAATGGTTCCTAATTCAACAGGCAGCCACTTATTAATGCACACGTAACAATATGATCATTAACAAACTATTATATAATTACTACGTTAGTATTTTTTAGGGGCTTTATTATAGTGTTATCATAACTTTTCATCAAACTGACATCATAATAAAGTATATCCTCTTTTACTTAGCATGGACTGGAAAAGATTATGTATTTTTCAGAGAATTTCTCAGCTCGTTTCATGAGAGAAACAGCAGAGAGAAAAGTTCAGCTCAGTTGTAAGCAATTTCGGTCTCACATAGCTAACGCATATTCTCACAGCGACACTCGACGCGTTCGAGACGCTGAGCTGATGGATTTCAGAACCACCCTGAGTTTAAAACACACTATACGGCCGGATCTGCTGTGCTGAATGGGCTCCTGCAGAGTTAAACACACTGCAGCTCTGCTGGAGTAACTTTGTGACAATGAATGTGAAAGTGGTAATTTTACTGTTCGGCTTCTCCACAGGATGCATACAGGTACGCATCACCTAAAATGAGAAATTTGTGTTCCAACCAAAATGTATTCCAACCCTTAGAAGTCTAGAGGTATTAAATGCAAGTAAATCTAAGTAAATGGTTCCTAATTCAACAGGTAGCCACTTATTAATGCACATCTAAAAATATGATCATTAACAAACTATTAGACAAGCTATTAGATAAACTATTAGATAGTGTTACCATAACTTTTCGTCAAACTGACATCATAATAAAGTATATCTTCTTCTACTCAATATGGATTGGAACAGATTCTGTACTTTTCAGAGAATTTCTCAGCTTGATTCATGTGAGAAACAGCAGAGAGAAAAGTTCAGCTCAGTTTTAAGATATTTCAGTCTCACATAGCTAACACATTCTCACAGCGACACCTGCCACATTTGAGACGCTGAGCTGATGGATTTCAGAATCCTGAGTTTAAAACACACTTTACGGCCGGATCTGCTGTGCTGAATGGGCTCCTGCAGAGTTAAACACACTGCAGCTCTGCTGGAGTAACTTTGTGACAATGAATGTGAAAGTGGTAATTTTACTGTTCAGCTTCTCCACAGGATGCATACAGGTACGCATCACCTAAATTGAGAAATTTGTGTTCCATCCAAAATTTATTTTAACCCTTAGAAGTCTAGAGGTATTATTGTCGTTTTGCTATACATTCGATTTACACAATTATTTAAATGTAACATTTATATTACATTTACATTCTGGATTGACAGGTTTGAGTCTGCATTTCTGACGTCTTTGTCTGTTTGGTTCAACGTCAAATGTCAAAAAATGACAATCACTATCAAAGAGTTTGTTAATACTTTAAGGTTGATGCAAAAAAGTGTCTATTTCTGTCATTTTATCTCTTTTCTATTAATAAATTGATTTCCCATTGCGGTTGTTATTTTGATATGTAAAGAACATAATTTAATAAAGCTGAAAAGTTGTAGATTTTTATTTTGTTTGCCTCACAAACTACCTTTCTGAACAAGAAAGCATATGAATAGGAATACAGGTCACACATCAGTAATGCCTTACTGTCACTCTGATAACACAAAGCAAGAACCAGGCTCATCAGGTTCAAGTGATTAATGACTGTACACAGTGGATTAATAAATGGTACCATTTGAATTATTAACTGTTTACTTAATGAAATATAATCAATTATTATTTTGAATTGTACAAACCTAATCTTATAGTAGTTTGAATAGTTTGAACTACTAAACGTTCACTTAGTTGCACAAAAACAATTCAAAATAATTATGAATTAATTATCCATGTCCTGATTTAAATGATTAAGTAGCTATTTACTATCCTGTTACTTTATGATACAGTAACTTTATGATACTTTATGATACTTCATACTACTTCAGTACTATAAAGTATACTACTTTAGTAGTATAAAGTATGATACTTTATACTACTTTATGATACAGCAACTTTTCCCTACTTCTTAACTATTATTAGTTATATATATTAGTTAATATAGATATTTTCAAACTAACATTTTTTAATTGGAAGCCTATATTTCATATTACCTACTACAAATAAATATATTAACAATGCTTCAATTATTTATCACACAGTTCCTAATTCAACAGGTAGCCAATTACAGATGCACATGTAACAATATGATCATTAACAAACTATTAGATAATGATTGTGTTGGTATTTACATGAGCTTTATTACAGTGTTACTGTAACTTTTCATCAAACTGATATCATAATAAAATATCTCCTCTTCTACTTACAAATCAATTTAATATGGATTGGTACTTTAGATTCTTTACTTTCAAGAGAATTTCTCAGCTTGTTTCACTGAGCTATGAGCGAGAAATAATTAATATGAAATTACATCATGCTGCTATTATTGACGAAAATAACTGTAACATGAGGGCCTGGATTACGGCACGAAAATAGAGAGGCTTGGCAAGACCAACACAGAAATGGGCAGAAAAAGAAAGCTGATTCGCTGCCTTTGCTTATTTGGCTGCCCAAAAGGTGCACCATGCTGCATGTGTAGATAAGGGTGTCATGGAGAGGGTTGAAAGAGAGTGGGCTGCTGTGCGTGAGGCAGTAATGGGGTTGTGAGGAAGTGTGTGTAAAAGAGTGTGCCAGAAATTTTGATCCAAACCTGAACACAGCCTGAGCCCAAGCCTGACCCAACCCAAACCACATCACCAAGTTTTGAGTCTGAACTCAACCTGAACTGCATCAACTTTTGAGCCCAAAACTGACCTGTGTACAACAAAATGTTGACCCCAACTCATCCATCATCACCCAAAGTACAGAGTAAAACCTGACAGGATAGCACCAGTTACACTACTGTGGAGCAACAATAACAGCCAGCACTAGATCATGGATAAATAAAATAAAAATAATTAAAAATATTATGCTGTAATAAACAGATCAGTTGTCCAAAACTACGTTAATGTTTCAAGCAGTGCTTTAGAACAGCCTTGCCAAGTTTTTTAGTTTGGATAAACTTTCATACTGTGCTGCTTTATTTCCCATGCGTCCATTTTTTCACGAGCGTGGGCTCTCGTGGATCTCAGTGCTAAATTCATGAGTGGGTGACTCAGCATGATAGATTAAAAGCTGTTTCAAGGTAATGAAAGTAGAGAGGAAAATTCAAGTCCAACACATATTTGGGAAATTACTTCTGAACCCATCCAAACCCAACGTGAGCAGGTTTTTAGACAAATATTTCAAGCTCTAGTGTGTAGAGGGATAGTGGGAGTTGTGGTGTGGGAGTAGTGGGTCTGAATGTGTGTGTATGTGTGTGTGTGTGTGTGTGTGTGTGTCAGGGAGGCTGGGTGTCACGGATAAGCCGAATTGCAATGTGGGTGGGCCAGACGGTCCGATGACTCACTGCTGGAGAGAACAGGAGAGCGAGGGGAACACGCACATACCCACACACTCGAGCACAGCATCCGCGTGTACACATGCATATGAATTACAACTACTGTGATTACAGTACTGTTACAGCACGTTTCTGAGTCGAATTAGTACTTTTACTTGGGTTCTAATAGAGTACTTGTAGGAGGGGCCTACATACACTGCACTACACTGAGGCCATAAAATATTACAGTCAAAAGCACTCTGGTACTAAGCTGTCACTGGGGCAGTGCCCCTCTTGTCACTGGGGTGGTACCGTCACAGGTACATCTCAGTACCTTTAGTCAGGGAACAAAACTGTAACATAATCCATTGAAATTATATTTTCTAAGCTGTACTGACTCCACACACCCCGTCTCGTCTCCAGGCTTTTTATTTTATTGATCTGTTTTAAAACATTCGGTTATGAAAAGGTACAAATACGTACTTTTCACCTGGAAAAACTTATTTAAGGTTCACAATCAGACAAAAAAAAAAATAAAAAATACAAACTGAAGCTATCTCTGTAACAAAAATAAGCTCCGAGGACAAAAAAAAAGTTATATGCATAATGTTTTTCACAGCATCGATGGCTCAGCCTCATTTGTGTTATAAAACCAACGTCTTATTACTTTAAAACATACTTCCTTCACCCAAATCTAAAGAAACAAGCTGACTACTAAGTTTATATCAATAATCATCTCTTTAAAATGGAATGATGAGGGTGGGACATGGCTGTCAGGGGTGGACACTAACAAGGAGATGGCACTGAGTGACGTCTCCATGATGAGTACAGACTTTGCCTTAACACAGAACTTGGCTGTTTAATTTGAATATACTATTACACATTACATTTGCTGGCTAATTAATCTTAGCTTAATAGTACATCAATTTACTTGTTCATTCATTTTTCACTTCGATTCAGGTACATAACTTAAATGAAGTCTTCACGAGTGCCGATTTAAGTGCGTGAAAAAAAAAACAGGAAGTTCACAATTTCACTAATTGCTGCAACAAAGAGCTACGTCTTCCGAACTAAGAACAAGGACTGCACTCCAGCTCCTCTAATTAGCTTCACAAACAGGCAAGAAGGCGATGAACGGCGAACAGCCGACTAACTGCTGACTGGGTACTGATCGGCTTAAGTATAAGAAGAGAAAAGAAGGCTTTCATATGGACATGAGATTTAGACAGTGCCATTCGCCCCCTTCTGTCTCCTTTGCACTCTCCCTCCCTC